TAAACGTGCAATATCTTGGTTCCAGACCAACAAGATTGATGTTATGGAGTGGCCAGCCCAATCCCCGGATCTCAATCCAATAGACAACTTGTGGGGTGACATCAAAAATGCAGTTTCTGAGGCAAAACCAAGAAATAGAGAAGAACTGTGGAATGTAGTCCAATCATCCTGGGCTGGAATACCTGTTCACAGGTGCCAGAAGTTGGTTGACTCCATGCAACACAGATGTACAGCAGTTCTCAAAAACAGTGCCTATACAACTAAATATTAATTAAGTGATTCAAAGGAAAGCAAAATCTTCAAACATTTTTCAGTTTATATAGTGAATGTTTGAGTTTGTAAAGAAGAATACAAACACTGCTATTTTTTTGAACAGTCTAATATTCACTTTTCTTCAATTGTTTTAGAGGAACAACACAAATTTGATATATTTATCTTCATGTTTTGATTTGGAATAGAATGTGTAGTGTTCCCAATGCATTTGTGTGTATGGAAATAAAAGCTATTAGAAGGATTCTGAGCTTTATTCACTTTTTTCAACACACTGCTATTATTTTGAACACAACTGTATGTATGATGCATGCATATATTCTTAGCCCCCAAGTGCATACCCTTACATTTATCAACATTAAACCTCATTTGCCACATAGTTGCCCAATTAAACAGTGCACTGAGATCAGCTTGTAAATTCAAGACATCCTGCAAGGATGTTATTCCAATGCAAAGCTTGGTGTCATCTGCAAAGACTGAAATGGTATTTTTAATCCCAGACCCTATATTGTTTTTAAATACTGTATATTAAAAGGTAAGGGTCCCAACACTGAACCTTGGGGTACACCACTGACAACCCTAGACCATTCAGAGTATGAATCATTAACCACTACTCTTTGAAAATGATATTTTATCCAGTTTTCTATCCATTTACATACAGATTTTTCCAAGCCCTTGGACTTTACCTTACACATTAGCCATGTGGGGGGAACTGTGTCAAACGTTTTTGCAAAATCCAAGTATACCACGTCCACCACCACAGATCGCTACAAAGTTCTGTGTGTTTGTAAACACAAAACTCTATGCTGTGATTGGCCGCAGCCGATCAACAGGTTTCAGCCAAAATCATTAGCTGAAACCTGCTGTTGGCTCCCGCTGCGGTCTCAGCCAATGAGGAGAGGTAGGTACTGGGGGGGGCACTGCTGAAAACAGAAGGTTTTGTACCTTCATGCATGAAGGTAACACAACCTTGAGCCTTTACAGACACTTTAGGCCCAATATAGCAAAAAATATTGCATTCTGGCAACTGTGTGAGATTACTAACTGTAATGCTAGTATTCAGTGTATACATTCTCTTCTAATTTTTATAGGCCTTTATTAAGCAGGCCAAACTTTTCAGTAAAAGTGATAGTGCAGGGGTTACAATCATTTACATTGACAGGGATGCTTACAGCGATCACTTCTGAAATAAAATTTAAAATAAAACTGCTGCTGTAATGGCTTAAAAAGTGTTAGCTGGGCTATAATGTTTGTTGCTGAAAGTTCATCTAAAACTACTCTGTCCACAAACTGACAACGCTGCAGTTATTTAACAGCAGATTGAATAGTGTTTTCATCCTTTTTCAGAAGTAGAAAATGAAAGCTCTACTGGCAGCATCAGCAGGTAATAAAATGTGCGGGCTGAAAGGGAACTCAGAAAAACAAAAAACTGACAGTGTCAGTGCTTTTGACATACTACAGCATATAATATATAGTACCATATAGTTCTATTGTAAAGACTGAACCCTCACAATTGAAAACTAATCCAGTTGGGTTGCATACACGGTAATAAATATGGGGCTCTTTGTTTTTGTTTTTTTTAAGTGTCACTAAAAATTGTATTTTTTAAGTTTTGGATAGAGTAGAGAGGGATCAGAACTCTTGAGAGGTTGCATTGCTGTCTGTGTCCCTGTTAGGGAGGTTCACCCTCCCCTTTTGCTCTGTTTACCGTTATCATCGAAAATAAATCCCAAATTTTGGGTTAACATCAGAACAGTAATATTGGAGGGGAAATCCTCCAATGGGGAAACTAGAACAGAACACACATGGCAAAAAACCCACTGACAAGGGTTCAAACCCTCCCTTACTCCAAAATCCAAAATGGGAAAAAAAAGTTTTGTTTTTGGTCAAACTTTAAATGCATCTAACCCAAAAAACACAAATTTAATATGATGCAGCTTACCAGTTCTTAAGATGTGGTGGCTGTGTTTTCATTTTTCAAGCATTATTTTCACCTGGTAAACCTGCAAATAATACACTTTCTGTCCCTTCATGGCTACATTCTGCTTTTCATTTTATCTATGGATAGAGCCATTGCAATAACCCAGGTTGGACTCCAAATACATATGTCCTTGTTCATCTCTATTACAGACTGAGTTGACGAGACTAGTATTTACACAAGAAAGATAAACATGTTTTTGCTTTTTTTTTTAAGCTAACAGGATGTGACAAGGACACTGTTTCTGGAAAGATCAACAGGCATTTTTGGTACATGCTGAAAATGTTTTGAGCTTGAAAAATTAAAACTAAGGCAGTCATCACATCCTAGGACTAATAAGCTGCAATTTTTGGTTTAGATATGCTTTAACTGCTAAGTGCCATAGAATGGGTTAAAATACCAAATGCTGGCAGCCTGTGGGAGAGTCTGACCACTGCTGTCTCATACAAACTAGCAGCTCAGCAATCCAACAGCCCTACCAAACACTGCTCAAATCAAAACCACTCTGCATAAAGTAAAATATTCTATCATAATCTGATTCGCTCAGGCTTGTCACCTCTAGACTAAATGTTTGCCCCCTACCATTCACAAAACATAGAGCGGCTCACACATGTGCAGTGGGAAGCCAGCTGTGAATACCACAAGGAGTCACAATTGGCTTCCCACATTAAAGATGCCTGCGTTAGGGACTGAAGCCCATCAAAGAGCTGATCAGGGTGAAGACGGTGGTGGATCCTTGTACAGGTAAGGGTCTAGTTATCGACTTTTAATTTTTTTTGTTCCAGGCTGAAGGACCTCTTTAATATGTATATTTTGTATATAGCATAGCATGTCTGCCTGCTGAAAATATGTAGTTACTCAGGGCTTGAAAAAGCCGCTCGCCCGCTCGTCAAATGCGAGGAGAAATTCTTGTGTGGCGAGCACAGATGATGGAGCGGCTGCACCTGCGCTCCAAGCCTCATTGTGAAGCCGAGTTTCGGTTTCAAGCTTCTTTGGCACCATTACACTGGCAGCACCGCTGAGGGGACAGGTGCAGGAGAGGTCCGCTGAGAGGAGACACCCTCTCCACCGCCGCGGGGGACTCGAGGAGAGGTCCACTCTCCCCCGCTGCGGGGGACACGAGGAGAGGCCCGCTCTCCCCCGCTGCGGGGGACACGAGGAGAGGCCCGCTCTCCCCCTGCGGGGGACACGAGGAGAGGCCCGCTCTCCCCGCTGAGGGGGACACGAGGAGAGGCCCGCTCTCCCCCGCTGAGGGGGACACGAGGAGAGGCCCGCTCTCCATTGCCATTGAAGTGGTATTTTGCATCAGAAAAAGGGTATTACACAAGTCTTGTTCCTGCTGTACAATGAAAACCATAGCAAATCTTGATGTGAAACTGGCTTCCTACTGCTTTTTGTCATCCAAAAAATGATTTTTTTTGGTGTTTTTTTTCTTAATTGAATAGAATGCAATCCACACACAGCCACTGAAGTGGTATTTTACATCAGAAAAAGGGTATTACACAAGTCTTGGTCCTGCTGTACAACACAATCCATGGCTGCTCTATTAGCACATCTTTGTAAAATGTTTAGTAATGTTATGCCATGTTTTTTGGCATCTAAATAAGCACTTTTTTGTTTTTTCTTAATTCAATACTTCTCTGAGCTCTCTTTTAATAAGATGCTGGAGATAAAAAATTCAAAATGTTTACTATTGTTATTTATTTTATGCAATGTTTTTTGGCCATCAAAAGAGGCACTTTTTTCTTAATACCACACATCTCTAAGGTCTCTGCTGGAGATAAAAAATACAACATGTTTACAGTAACTATTATTCCATGTTTTTTGGCATCAAACTAAGCACTTTTTCTTATGCTATACTTCTGTAAACTAAACTTACATCTTTTAAAAGAGACTTTAGTTACTAAAGTCTCTTTTTAAAGATACAGGAGATAAAAAAAAAAATACAAAATGTTCACTACAGGTTGAAAGCTGTAAAACTTGATATTTTGATTGCACCCTATTGCTATTAAGCTATTGCTGTTATGTTTAAATTGACATAAAGCTATGTTATAATTGCAGTTTTTTATATTTTTTGGATTCTTTATTCTACTGAAAAATGTAATTTCATAGGCTTCAAGGGGGCATGATTGGGGGCAAGGCTGGGGTTGGAGGTGGACCTGGGCAAGGTTGGGTGGGGCAACTGGTGGAGAGTAAGGTTTGTGCCTGGCTAATAGGTCTAGACTCAAAAATTTTAAACCCTGGTTACTATTATATATTCCAAATACCTCTGCTTAGCTTCCTCCCTCTGTTGCCTGTAACTAATCTCTGTATATTGCTTCTGTAAACAATAGCAATTACACCACCCCTATTATTTATTCAATCGATTACATTGGTTACTCTAGGACAAAAATTCCTGGTCATGCAAGGAATAGAGCAGCTTTATAGTGATGCATAGCAAATAATGCACCTAAATTTATCATCCCTTCAATATATGTTCACTGCATATGTTTTTAGTTTCTCTTTGTCCTAACTGGATTCAGTAGGAGCTGGGAAGCTACTTGATACAATGGACAAATGTCTTATGGAAAATAATGGGTTATTCATGGCCTATTAATTTACAGTGACCTATTAATACAGTAGTCAATAAATATGGTCCTGGCTCACTGCATTTTACTGGTTTTCCTGTCTTAATTTATGTAGGAGTAGGGTTACACTAACTCAGAAAGGTCCTCCTTATCAATATTTTATACAAAAGACTTGGAGACCTCACCATAGAGCCTTTCAAGATGTGCCGGCTGTTTCTTATATTCCTCCTGGAGCTTGTCGGCTTCCTCCAGAATAGATCGATACTCTGGAATCAGAAAGTCAGTGTTTCCTTCGTGAACTTGCAGCTCCTTTCCCCAAAAAAAAAAAAAAAAACACAAAAAAAACACAACTTCATTATTGCTATAGATCTTTATAAGCACTTTACTTTTTCAATCCAGAAATATGAAGACATCTTCTTTGTTCTTTATTATACTTTACTCATTTGGCTGTACTTCCTGTGGATTATAGGCATGCATTTTATTCTGCACTCGTGATCTATTTTCAGCCAACAGCGGTCTAAAGCCTGACGTCACAGAGCCCGTCCAGGCTGGGGAAAGATTGCAACCATAAGGATGCAGGATCCACCCAGGAGCCTGGACCGACACCTGGCTTAGCCTCTCAGCTGTGCTGCTGGGAGACTAAGCCAGCTGCTCCCCCCTTCCCTAGCCTACCACTCCAGTGAGCGCTGGAGGGGCAAAGCAGACAGTGGTGACTGACAATCACCATTCTCTACTCAGAGCAACTGAGTAATCAACAGTGTTTGATCGCTCATTTCTCAGCCTTAGAGCCGTCAGGGGACAGATGTAGCATCGGATCAATGCTGTATCCACCTATGTAAGTATGATTTAAAAAAAAATAATCCCAAACTTCTCTTTTAAAAAGATAAGAAAATAATGTATCATTTCCGTGGCTTGCTTACCAATCACATATAGACTTGTGATCACACAGGAGACAAACTAAGCCACAGGATATCAAGCACTGAGCTGCACATAAACTATATTTTCCAACTTCAAGAACTGGGCAGCTTGTAACAAAGAGGTTATGTTGGAAGGGGAAATGGGAGAGTAGTCAGACCAGTTTAAAACTCACAAAGAGGCAGATTTACAAAAAGCAGAGGAAAGAAACTGGTCAGTTCAGGTTTCATCTCATCAAATAAATCAAGAGCTGGGGCCAATCTAACTGGTAATCGTTCACATACAGCTCTGATCTTCATAGCTTTACGTTTTGCAAATAAGCTGCAATGTATAGCTTTTAATCATAAAAATGCATAAATTAGAGGCAAGATGTAAAGGTAGTAGTACGGACCTGACTGCAGAATTAATGTTATAAGGCCACAAAGCAGAAACTGATAAGGACAATATTTGCTAGAGAAATTCTGCATATAGGAATAAAAACCTCTTGGTGTCCAACCTTCTGCAGGCAAGGTCTACACAGCATTACACTGACAATCCTAGAAAAGTCCCAAAATGCTGCAAATTCTACTGGCTTTGCATAACACTGTTTGGAAAAATGGTCATTTACCAAGAAAGGAAAAATGGGATTTTTTTTGTACTCACCATAAAATCCCTTTCTCTGAGTTCATCGACGGACACAGTGGCTTCCTCTTTAACATTTACGATGCAGAGTTTTATAGCCCCACCTACAGTAGTAGGACACTAGGCATGAAAAAAAAAAAGTTTTATACCCCTCTCTGAGTATAAAACCCCCTCTCTGCTATAGGTCTCCAGTCCGTCACAAGCAGTGTCAAAGGAGAGATCTCCCTAGTGGAGTGGATACTGTGTCTGTCAATGAACTCGGAGAAAGGCATTTTTTTGGGGAGTACAAAAAAATCCCATTTTCTCTTCCGTTTATTGATGAACATAGCGGCTTGCTCTTAACATTATTGAAGCAGGGAATGTCTCAAGCAGTGCCAGAATGAGGTGTGGGCAACCATACAATGTAGAAAGAAAACCCCCAGGGCAACAAGCCAACACTCCAAAAGACCCCAAAAGGGGAAGCCCAGGAGCCGTAAACAGCTGCCTGCAACACGTTGCAGTCAAAACTAGCATCAGAGAATGCCAACACATCAACTTTATAGAGCTTAGTAAACGTGTGCACAGATGAACAGGTCGCTGCCTTGCAAACATGAGAAACAGAATCCTGATGTAGGAACGCCCAGGAGATGCTAACCGCCCTAGTGGAGTATGCTGTAACGTGAAGGGAGATTCCTGCTCCTTAACAACATACTCCTGAACATTTTGCTGAATCCAATGATAAATAGGGGCAGAAGTCACTAGGCCCTTCACGGACCATCTGTGAGGACAAAGAGAAAATCGGACCTCTGAAGGGCACCGTTACAGAAAGATACACACGAATCGCATGGACCACCTCTTTAGGGTGTATCGGTCGAGGACACAGTGAGGGAAGAACAATATTCTCATTCAAATGAAAATACGACACAAATGGTAAAAAAAGGGAGGGGAAGGCCAAAGCACCACCTTGTCCTTGTGCAAAACCATATAAGGTGGCTTACAGGACAAAGCCGCCAACTCAGACACCCTCCGAACAGAAGTAATATCGATAAGAAAGGCAACTTTTTGCGAAAGCGTAAGCAAGGGGATGTCCCGAATGGCCTAAAATGGAGGCTTCTGAAGAGCAGACAGCAACAAATTCAAATCCCATGGTGACAAAGGGGAGCACACAGGTGGGACCATGTGAGGAACCCCCTGAATGAAAGTACGAACTAAAGAATGCATTGCTAAGGGCTGCTGAAAGAAAACAGCCAGAGCAGAGACTTGACCCTTGATCATACTCAACACAAGACTCTGATCAACACCCGAACCACAACAAAGGAACGAGGATGGAACCCCAAGGCTTCGCACCAACCACTATAGGCTCTCCAGGTGTGATGATAAATCTTCCGGGAAGTAGACTTATAGGCCTTCAACATAGTCACAATCACCAAGCCAGACAACCCTTCAGAACCTGGCTCTCAATAGCCATGCCTCCAAAGCCAGCAATGGTAAAGCAGGGTGGAAGACCGGCCCTTAAGACAAGGTCTTTCCGAAGAGGCAGCCTCCAGTCGCACCACGTCAGCATACCACGGATGACGAGACCAGTCCAGGGCAATAAGGGTGACTGGGATCCCTTCAGCCTCTATCCTGCGTAGTAGACGAGGAATCAGTCAAAGGGGTGGGAAGGCATAGATGAGAGTGTACTGATTACACACCGCCATCAGGGCATCCGCTGCATCCACCAGGGGATCCAATGATTGTGAAACGAACCCGTGGAACCTTCCGATTGAGGCGGGAAGCCAGAAGATCCATGTCTGGTATTCGCCAGCGAATGCAGAGCTGATATACACACTTCCATATGTAGGGACCACTCGCCCTGATCCAGCGTCTGACAGCTGAGCTTGCCAGTTTTCAACGCCCAGAATGTGTACGGACAGAGTCGGAATGCACCTCTCCGCCCAACGCAGAAAGTGAGATGCCTCCAGCGTCGCAGCTTCCTTCCATGTCCCCCTGATGTTTGACATATGCCAACCACAGATGGTCTGTTCTATGTGTCAGCGACATCATCACCCGAAGCTCCAGGATGATGGGTAAGTGAGCTTCCCCCCCGGAGTCCAGAACCCTGAGCAGAGTCCAATCCCTGCATCTTTCCCAGCCCAACAGGCTGGCATCTGTCGTGACCACAGTCCAGTGAACAGGGAGGAAGGACTTTCCATTCCGTGGAGCTGGGGACCTCATCCACCAAGGAAGGGAGGCCCTCATCTACCGTTCCAGGTGAATCAGAAGGTCCAAGGTGGCGGAAGCCCTGTTCCATTTTGATAGGATTTTGCTCTGCAGTGTTCTCGCATGAAACTGGGCATATGGAACCGCTTTGAAGGTAGCAACCATCAAGCCTAACACGCGCATGCAAAGAAGCAGAGAAAGCCACCTGCGAGCCAAGAGTTGCTGAACCACTGACTGTAGCTTCAAAAACTTCTCCGACAGAAGGAACACCTTGGCCTGCTCCGAACTGAGAACCAGATACTCCAGGCGCATGGACGGAGTCAAGACCGACTTCCTAAGCTTCAGGATCCACCCGAAGTTCCGTAGAGAATGCATGGTGATTTCCATACTAGGGAGGAACAAGTCTCCGCAAGCAGAAGCAAATCGTCCAGGTAGCCAATCACTGTGCTCTCCCATTTTCTCAATAAGGCCAGGACTGGGGCTAGGACCTTGGCAAAAACCCGGGAGGCAGAGGCCAGACCAAAGGACAACATTACAAATCGATAATACGCATCCCCGATGGGAAAATGTAGGAAGCGCTGATGCCCCTAGCAAATGGGGATGTGTAGGTAAGTGTCCTCGTTGTCCAAGGAGGCCAGGAAATCTCCCGAGCAAGAGAGGCCACCATTGAATGAACGGATTCCATCTTGAACTTGTGAACCCGCACAAAGACATTAAGGGCCTTTGAGATCCAGGATTGGGAGAACCCTGTCCACCTTGGGAACTGTGAACAGGTTGGAGCAAAATCCGCAAAAACGCTCCGAATCGGGTACTAGGACGACCACTCCATGGAGCAGCAGTTCTTGCACAGCCCCGTACAGGACTTGCAGGCGCAATGGCGAAAGCCGCAGATTGGAGAAAAAAATCTGTCCCGTGAAAGGGAATGAAACTCTAACTTGTATCATGAATGAGGGAGGTCCATGGGCTCGGAAACCTGCGATGACTCCCCCCCTCCCCCTCCCTGGAAGCGGCTGGGGCAAATCTTCATGCTGAGGGAGACTTATCTGCAGGCTTGGAGGGCTTCTGGGGCCAGGGAAGCTTGGTGCTACCTGCAGTACTCTTGGAAGAGGAAGGTGCTCTTGCCCCCAGTGAGGTTCTTGATTATGTCATCCAGGGTAGCGCCAAAAAAAAAAACGGTCAACCAGAAGGGGCAGGTCTGCCAGAACCTTCTTGGAGGTCTAGTCTGTCAACCAACACTTGAGCCAAAGGACCCATTGGAGCACAACGGCTGAGATGGACAGCAGAAAACAGATGCTTTGGCCTACTCCAATCCTTATAAACAAATCTGTCAAAATATTCGGGGTAAGGAAAAACCTTAGCAGCCCGAACTGGCTTGTGCGTACCAAAGGCACCATATCAGCTGCCCCCGCAGGGTCCTCAATCTTTAGTGTTTCATGCACCGAATCAATAGGTGTCGCTACCAATGCCTTCCCCTTTGTGACAACAGAGGCAGAGGACCCGTCCTCCTCATCCGAGGAATCAGGGGATGCGTCCTTGGGATCCGCAGTAAATGCGGAACTCACGGCCGCAGAATCTGGTTTGGTCACAGAATCGTCCGAGGCCGATGGCATGGGGCGCTTTTGGTGGCCAACTGCCACCTCCACACAGGACACGAATGTCTCCAGGATGGCCGACAATGCGTCTTGGGGAACCAAGGGACCCGGGACCTCCAGAGGGGCCCCAGAGGCGCAGCATGCTCCTGGGCTTCCATGGGACCAGTCCACCCAGCTAGATACTGCTGCAAGAAGGGGAACCCGGACGCTCCTAGTTCAGAAGACCACCCCAGTACGAAGAGGGGAGAGAGAGAGACCCCCAGGGAGGGCTCATCACCACCGGCAGGAGCTGCCAGGGTGCCCATGTTTCCCGCTGTCCGTTCCGCACACTGTGTGTGCTGCCCCCACAAGCCCGAGGTTCCTGAAGGGAAATCCCTGCCGCTGACTAAGGGAAAATGGCCACCAAGGACCCCCCCCAGCCAGTCTCCATCGCCTGAGAGCCACTCAGACCCCTCAAAAAATGGCTGCTGGCCAAAAACTCTGGAAAAATGCCCACAGCGCCTCGCACTAGAGGCCAGAGGCTAAAAACCTCCAAGAAAACAGACGTTGCAGCTACAATAACATGGTCTCCGGCCAACCCAGCCATATGCAGCGCGCCTCGGGCTCCCTGATCCAGGTAGGCCTGCAACTCCTTGACCTCCCCATCCAAAGTGGACACCTCCCCCCCACAGAGGACAAAGTCCCCTCCAGCCCCAGATGAACCCCAGACCGCAGGGGAAAGAGGTAGCTCACACTACCAGGGTCCAGCCAGGAATGAGGTACCTGGCCTAAGCCCGCACCTCCACTGTGGCTGGCAGTAGCCCCGCAGCCAGGTTTCCCAGGATGCTGCCACATGAAGAGGGAATGGATGTGTTGGATGAGAGGGACCCCGCAGGGCCGACCAGGGTGAAGCTGTGACAGATCGTCCTCTCCACCAAAGTGGGGGGGCCATTGGCCAGGGGTACACTGTGACACAGACTACAGGCGCCCGGTCATATGCGTCCTCGTGAGGCGTTTATTTAGCTGGCCACCCCAGTCCGTGGGGCATAGTCGCGGCCGACCGAGCACCAAGCAGGCGATCTGTACGCGCTCGCTGGTCAGAATGGGGTAATCAAGCCCATCGCCCAGTCAGACTGTTGATGGAAGATCTCTGCAGGAACATAAAAGTCCAGGAAAAAGAAAGAAAAAAGGTAAAGTTGCAGGACCACCAGTCCAGCAAAACTTCACATCCATACTCCTGAGACACTAGGAAGAAAAGACTGGAGACCTATAGCAGAGAGGGGGTTTTATACCCAGAGAGGACTGCCCATAGGAGGTGCCAAGTCTTTTTTTTCTGCCTAGTGTCCTACTGCTGTAGGTGGGCCTGCTTCTTTAATGGTAAAAAGGAAGCCACTGTGTCTGTCGATGAACATAATAGAAAATCTTTTTAGTGCACAGATGTTTTTCTTTCAAAACGCATAGGGAAAAAAAACTTTTCCCGTTATGGAAACTGAACAATTTAGGGAGAATGTGCTGTCAAACCTATACAGATGTCGTCTCTGCCTGTGTATGATCAGTAATAGGCATATGAATGTATATTTACATTATTTCTTAAAGAAAGGTCACTGTGATAAAACATGGAATACCAACAATGTACCTTGAGAGCGTCAATCAAATGAACCTTTTTGGCCAAAAGTAGCTGATACTCCAACTTCGGATGGATCATTCTCAACGTGTGGCCAACAGATTCTTCACTTATATCTGCTTAGGGAAAAGGAATGATAAGGAGAAGGAAGATCAGGAAACACAAGTTGGCTGAGGAAACCATCAGTTATATAGACTGTTAAAGCGTATCCAAAGCCTAAACCCGTTACCAGAATAAGTGCCCCAAATTGAAAGATTTATTCTACTGTTCTAGTGACAACCATAAGTTTTTGGATTTCTCAATACTTCTTGTCCCAATGACAATGGTAACCAGGACAAATAGGGAGGCTGAATCTCCCCAATAGGTACAGCCATAAAAACACTACAAAGGTTTTCAACATTTCCCCCTTATCCAAAACCTTAAGTCTCCATTTTTTTTAAAAATAAAAAAATGTTATACATACCTGCTCTGTGTGTGGTTTTGCAGAGCTGCTTTGAACCTCCTCTTCTGGGGTGCTTTGCCAGTGGTCTAGGCTTCTCTTCTTCTCGAATGGCCCAAATAGCAAGCTGCTTGCTATGAGGGAAATGGGGCAGACTCACCGCCGAGCAGTGTTCTGTGTGTCTATTGACACACAGTGTGCAACTCAGCCCCTCCCCCGCTGTCTGTCAGTCCCTGTGTGAAGAGGGAGAGATGAGAGAAGACTGAGGCTGGGCACAGCGCTGGATCAATCCAGCAGTGAGGTACATGTTTGAGGGAAGGGGTGGGGGGGGGCACAGCAAGTCCTAAAACGTTGTTTACCTTAATGCAAGGAATGCATTAAGGTAAAAATACATTTTAGCTTTAGAACCGCTTTAAATGCAATCTATGGTAACAGCACACACTTTCATTTTATACCAGTAACAACAAATGATAGTAATTTTTGACAATCCAATACAAGCTTGAAAAAAAATCTCCTTTGATCTTGTGAGTGCTGCCTGTCTGTGAGTCATCTCTTTCCACAAATTCTTGCATACCCTTTTCCTCTGCTGTTGCCTTTCAATTTCTAAGGACTATATATTAGTGGTGCACCAAAAGGAAAATTCTGGACTGAAACTGTAAATGCAGGATGCACTTGGCCGAGAACCGAAATGGACAGTTTTTTAAAAATATATTTTTTATATATACTTGTATTATATTCGACTTTTTAATTAATATCGCAGACAATAAACTGAACAGAAAAAAAATGAAATATATATAAAATAAAAAAACTTAAATAGGCCGCACAATCATTTAAGAAAACAAAATACAACAATTTACCTTTTTTTTTTTTTTTCTATAAGTGCATGTCTACAAACATTTGTATGCTCATTTTTGGAACAAAACGCCTAGTGCTTAGAATGTCTGCATTTGTCTCCAAATGCCGAGCACCATTGTCCCTGCCATGCTAGTGTCTGTGACTGAAGACACTGTGCCCCACACCAGTCAGTAGCCTGTAAAGTGTACTTTGAAATAAAAAAAAAAAAAAAAAACAACGAAACAAAAACATACCATAAGATATATTAAGATTAATCTTTCTTTTAGTGGCTTCCTTTGACAAGACATCTTTCAGAATTGAAATTGTGGAGATATTGTCTGACTTAAAGATTCCTTCACCTTTTCTGTAATGAGAACAACAACTGATTATGGCAGACAGCAAATTTTATCAAAATATTTCCTCACTGTCAAACAAAACATTGTGAAATATACTTCTGATCTTGGGCATGGATTAAAACTATGCAGCTATATCTATAATGCCATATATTGTACACATGGAACAGTGTGGTGATTTCATGCAATGACATGGCATAATATGTAAGAGAGAAAATGTAATTTTACTGAGGTGATGGGAAACTGCATCAGTTAAAGAAACTCTTTACTGAAAGAACTATGAGGGCTACCACTGTTTACCCACCACCTGACTGTTATGCTGTTCCAGTGGCCTTGAAGCACTGATGAGTGAGTGTGTGTGTATATATATATATACACATACACGCATATACACAGTAGACCCAGAAGGGGTTCCCTGCAATTAGTTGTGAACGGGAAGCCCTCTAAAAGCAATGGGAGGCTGACAGCTCCCACAGCTATTCATGGCCACTCACATGTAACTGCTTGTGGAGTGATTACCTGCAATGATCGGCCTTGGCAATAATCGCGGGGAACGCCCAACTGGGTCTGCCACAGCTGATCACAAACTGCCCCATTCACAAGTGTGAATGATGCCTTAAGTGAACGCGCTGTGCTAGAGAGCCTATTAAGCTGGCAGTAGGAGCCTACAGCCCTCTTTATGCACCTTCTACATTAACAGTTTTGTAGCCCAAAACCTAGGGTATTCCGTAATGGGATTAGTCAACTGAGAGATTCAATCTCTGACCTATTTCTTCTGTTTATTCAACATGCGTTGTGCTGCCGTGCATAACAAAGTGCATGTGCATTAGCCTTTTCGCTGCCAGAGCCATTTTTGCATTTTTTGCGCACATGTAAAAAAATCATTTTTTACACGTTCTTGCAACAGAGTTACCCGAGTAACAATATTCCTCAGGACGAAACGTGTTGGGTAGAGCTATAGTGGTGATGGCATCATGCCCGCCGAGGAGCTGACTGCTGAATACAATAGATGCTGTTTCAACTTTTTTCCTTGTAAGTAGATGTCTAATTTTATTAAAGCATGGTTTTAATTATTGCACCATGAGAGTTGCATATTTGTCATAACTATTGGCCGACATGGTCTGTGCAGGATCGGTGTTGCTAGAGAGATGAGCGGTGTATAGGTGGAGAGAGTGAAAGCACATATACCATCTATTGAATCAGAGGGCGATTGTCCATCTGCTGATCTATTCCTTAAACATGTACCTGACAGGCTGTAAAACCGGCATCTATCCATTCATTTTGGGCTTTTTCCTTAAAACCTGGCTAGACCTCCTATAATTTGGGATCTAACAGTCTGGTAAGCAGTTTTCATTCGATGGTGTTCACAGGTTAGGACGAATCTGACTGCTGATGGGATCATCTGGGCTTTCTAATTCACACAATAAGTTTTTTTGGTTGTGGACATTTTTAGTATCTTTATGAACTCGATTTATTTAATTTATTCACAAGTTTGTTGTAGAGCACATGCTTTATGAAGTCTTTTATTGATATATGAATGTAATTAATTATTTCTTTAATGCACATGCACTTTGTTATGCATGGCAGTGCAACGCACATTGACTAAATATTTTATACAGTGGATATAAAAAGTCTACACACCCCTGTTAAAATGTCAGGTTTCTGTGATGTAAAAGAATGAGACAAAGATAAATAATTTCAGAACTTTTTCCACCTTTAATGTAACCTATAAACTGTACAACTCAGTTGAACAACAAACTGAAATCTTTTAGGTGGAGGGAAGTAAAAATAAAAAACTAAAATAATATGGTTGCATAAGTGTGCACGCCCTCAACTAATACTTTGTTGAAGCACCTTTTGATTTTTATTACAGCATTGTTTTTTTGAGTATGAGTCTATCAGCATGGCACATATTGCCTTGGCAATATTTGCCCACTCTTCCTTGCAAAAACACTCCACATCTGTCAGATTGAGAGGGCATCTCCTGTGCACAGCCCTCTTCAAATCACCCCACAGTGGGCCATTCCAAAATTTTAATCTTCTTCTGGTGAAGCCATTCCTTTGTTGAATTGGATGTATGCTTTGGATTGCTGTCATGCTGAAAGATGAAGTTCCTCTTCATTTTCAGCTTTCCAGCAGAAGCCTGAAGGTTTTGTGCCAATATTGACTGGTATTAGGAACTGTTCATATATCTCTCTACCTTGACTAAGGCCCCAGTTCCAGCTGAAGAAAAACAGCCCAAAGCATTATGCTGCCACCCACCATGCTTCACTGTGGGTATGGTGCTCTTTTGGTGATGTGCAGTGTTGTTTTTGCACCAAACATATCTTTTGGAATTATGGCCAAAAAGTTCAACGTTGGTTTCATCAGACCAGAACACATTTTCCCACATGCTTTTGGGAGACTTCAGATTTGTTTTTGCAAAATTTAGCCAGGATTGGATGTTTTTCTTCATAAGAAAAGGCTTCCGTCTTGCCACTCTACCCCATATCCCAGACACATGAAGAATACGGGAGATTGTTTTCACATGTACCACACAGCCAGTACTTGCCAGATACCTGAAGCTCCTTTAATGTTGCTGTAGGCCTCTTGGCAGCTTCCCAGACCAGTTTTCTTCTCATCTTTTCATCAATTTTGGAGGGAGGTCCAGTTCTTGGTAATGTCACTGTTGTGCCATATTTTCTCCACTTGACGATGACTGTCTTCACCGTTTTCCATGGTATATCTAATGCCTTGGAAATTCTTTTGTACCCTTCTCCTGACTGATACCTTTTAACAATGAGATCCCTCTGATGTTTGGAAGCTCTCTGTGAACCATGGCTTTTGCTGTAGGATGCGACTAAGAAATTGTCAGGAAAGACTTACTAGAACAGCTGAACTTTATTTGGGGTTAATCAGAGGCACTTTAAATGATGACAGGTGAGTACTAACTCCTATTTAACATGATTTTGAATGTGATTGTTTAATTCTGAACACAGTTACATCCCCAGTTATAAGAGGGTGTGCACACTAAGCAACCGCATTATTTTAGTTTTTTATGTTTACTCCCCCCCCCCCCCCCCCAAAAAAAAAAAAGTTTTCAGTTTGTTTTTCAATTGAGTTGTACAGTTTATAGGTCACATTAAAGGTAGAAAAAGTTCTGAAATTACTTATGTTTGTCTCATTTTTTTACATCACAGAAACTGACAATTTAATAGGGTGTGTAGACTTTTTATATCCACTGTATATTTTAGGTGTGGAGATACAGCGAGTGCAGCTGCTTTCTTTCTGATATTTTGGTTAAATCTCTAATTAGTTTCTTGATACACTAGCTCATAGTTTTTCTGTTTTTCCCCTTACTATTGTCTTCTCTGAATATGGTCAGTTTTACTGAAGTTTGGATATGCACAACAGAGCATCCTGGTTTTCAGGGCCCCTGGGTGCTCCAGCTGCCATCCAAAAGAGTACATGCACTTGCAGAAGCCTACTTTTAAAACCTGCTGACCATGAAATCATGTTACTATAAATCAGGATTCATTTGAAGTGAAAAGTTCTTCATGTTCTGTTGAAATTAGTTTTTTACCTGTATGAGCATTCCAGTTGTGTGTCCAGAAAAGTATTCTGAAAGTAGAAAGTAATGTCTTCTCCAACTGGAGGCTTCTCTGGGACTTCAGGCAAGCAGAACACCATCCAGGAATGGATCTCCGCAAAACTAAATTGGCCAGTCAAGCTCAGAGTATTCATGGGCCTGGAACAGATACAAGACCCTATTATCTGTGTTATGGCAAATAACAAATGTAATCATTAATGGTCAACATTTTCTACAAAAAAAAATGAATAATAATAGGATAGGGTTCACCATGCATGGAACAATCAGACACGTACAGGAAATTACAACAAACATAACTTGTGTGACAATCCTCTCTTTTCTTCAGCCTGTCACGTATGACAAGGTCTGAACCAGGAAAAAAAGGTCTGCTACCATGGTGCAGCTGATGAACAGGAGGCTGTACAGCACAGAAACATGTAGCACGAAACTACAGCCCACTTCCAGTTTCTCCCCTACAAGAATCCTGCTGAATCTAACTGCGCTGAATTTTGTAAAATTGAGAATAACAAAGGGTTAGAGTAAACCTTAAAAAAAAAAAACAAAACAAAAAACAACCTATTCCTCATTGTGTGCTAAGCCCATCCAGGGCCTAAACTTAACCATTGTGCTGCCACCCACTACAACCATTAAAAGTTAGCCAGCAGTTTAAGGGCTACAATTTTTAACATTTGGCTTAAAGTCCCATTTTTTTTTTTAATTTTGTTGTCCGCTGTCTTTAAAATTTCCTGGATAGTATTATTAACTATTTGACTGACCTTACTCGCTGGCTAGAATTTTAATTTCAAGGAAACCAGTACAGAGACAAATATGCCATTGATATTTAAAAAAAGCATTCTGCACAGAACAAGCATGCGGTGAATGATATCAGAACCATTAGTCTGTACACTTATTGTGAACTTGAGTGCCTATATTCTCTCTGAAGAGGTTCCCTTTCACATTTACATAAAAGCATAAATAAACCCAAAAAGCAGGGTACATGGGGGTTTATAAATTTCACTGCTTTCCAACTGTACAGTGAGCACGTGTGTTATCCAGGGATTGATAAAAACAATTGAGGTGCACGACCGTTTCTTTTTCAGTTTCTATTGAATTAATGGGACAAATATATCCACTTCCTTGAAATGTTGATTGTAAACAGAGGGAAAAGTATTTAAAGTATCAGTGAACAGCAGGAAAGTCATTGACATGTATATTTACTGGCCATGATCCTAAGGTCATTTCATGAGACGTGCATTTTCCTGGATAGCTTTTCACGAAGTACCTGTTTTGATCAAACACATGGCTCCTCTGATGGAGAGACAAAGGTTTAATCAGGTACCGCCGCACCTGACAGGTTTTGGGTTGAATTCTAGGTGTTACATAGGCTTGTAATGTTCCATACTGCCCTTCAATGGACCGAACCTGCAATGCAAAAATGCCACACAGGTTGTTAATAAAGCAGCTTTTTGTGCTGACAATACAATAAAAATAAATGTGTTATACATATCACCTTCAGTTCCAGTCTGGTGGTGTTTGCCTGGCAACGATAAGTAGCAAGCAGGAAGTTTCCATTTGGCTGTAGGGTAAAGAATACTTGTTGCAACAGCCATTCTATATATTACATAAAAAAAAAATAGACAGTACCTATAATGACATGAAAAACATCCTTACCTCACTTTCGCAGCCACTAAAACTCACAACTGCTGAATTCTTATCCACATCCAGCAGATCCACAGGAACATCACTCTGCAAACATAAACATACATACAGTGAGATCCTTTCACAAAGTGTAAACCAGTTGACCTGTTTAATTCATTATCACCTAAATAGCAAGGTCGTCCCTTTTAAGTGTGGTCTCCCTCCCTCTGCAGAAATGCCAAGAAAAACTTGAAAAAAAAAAAACTGTGGTGGAAAAAAAAGTAATTCTTACATTATTCCTGGCACTTAAGCAAGGGTAACATCATCCTCCTTCCCGTGGAATCCTGGGAAATGTTAAGTTGCCCAAATCTCATTGGGACACACATTTGCACTGTGCTGCTACATCTTATCATGAGATTTGGAGTACTCAGCATAACCATAACCAGAAATCTCTTCACCATGGTGGGGGGCATCACCCCTGCATTACAGAAGCTGGGAAAAGGGGAGTATATCACATAACATTTTTCCTTTAGGAGTGTTTTTTTTTTTTTATACATTGTTTTAGAAAGGTGGCGGTAGAAAGCAGATCTTGCCTGCAGTACAAAGTGCTCTTTAATATGCTAAGCAATTGGATCTCAACTTAATTCGAATTATAAGGGTGATTATAGCAGCAAAGATTCAATGTATATCTTTAAAATAATCTTCATGTTTCCTGTCACTTTAAATAGTTCATTTGGACCAAGCTGGTCCAAACTATTTCCTTCACTAACTGCTGCATTGGCTTGAAGTGCAGTATGAACTGTATGTAGCTTCAGCTATATACAGTATACAGTGCTGGCTTCCAGAATTCCTGCCTTATACACATGGAACAAAATAGATTTGGTCCGAGAGGCGCCAATTTTAAGCAGCTTTGTATTCTGTGAATGAATACAAAGCTTTCTCTGATTGGCCAAGTCAGAGATTGTGATGTCATCAGCCCGCCTCCCTGCCTCAGAGGAAGTAAAATAAAAAAAAAAAAAAAGGAGGTGTTGTATCAAGCCCCTCACATTGAACTCTTGACTTTTACAAATTAGACATTGGGTGATTTCGACTCTCACAAAGACCCGATGACTCAATTATCCCTATTTGAACACATTTGTAATCGGACACCCCTTTCCCCCCAAACTTATTTCTATCCTTTACTCACAATTGATTAATTTTCGGCACCCTAATAATCACACTTACATTTCCATGTGGGAAAAGGACCTTAAAAGCACCAAAGATATGGGATGTTGGTCTCAGATATGGACAACCCTGACATGCTCTATCAATATCCTTACAATGGAATCAGCCTTTAAAACTGTTAAAAAATGGTACTTGGTCCCGTCCCATCTAGCGCACCACCACTCTTCTACCCCCCCCACCCCTCTTTCGTGGCTTTACTACCCCAGGAGATGTCCTACATACATGGTGGACATGCCCTATGCTCTCAGTTTTGGTCCTTAACCACTTGCACTCCTGAGGATTTACCCCCCTTAATGACCAGGCCTCTTTTTGTTACTCGGCGCTGCACTAATTCAACTGATAATTGCGTAGTCATGCAATGCTGCACCCAAACGAAATTTACGTCCTTTTTTTCACACAAATAGAGCTTTCTTTTGGGGGTATTTGATCGCCTGTGCGCTTTTTATTTTTCACGCTATAAACAAAAAAAGACCAAAAATTTTGAAGAAAAACAATGTTTTTTACTTTCAGCTATAAAAAATATATAGTAAACTCAAAGTTGGTTATGAATTTAGGCCAAAATGTATTCTGCTACATGTTTTTGGTAAAAAAAAAAATCCCAATAAGTGTATATTGATTGCTTTGTGTGGAAGTTATAGCGTCTACAAACTATGGTATAAATACTGCAATTTATGCCATTTTTTTTTTACTATACAGCGCTGCGCTAGTTTAACGGACAATTGCAATACGGTACATAAATGAAATTTATGTCCTTTTTTTCACACAAATAGAGCTTTCTTTCGGTGGTATTTGATCGCCTGTGAGTTTTTAATTTTTTGCGCTATAAAAAAAAAAAAAAAGAAAAAGGCTGACAATTTTGAGAAAAAAAAAACAATATTTTGGACTTTTTGCTAAATTTCGGTCAAAATGCATTCTGCGACATGTCTTTGCAAAAAAAAAAACCCCAATACGTGTAAATTAATTGGTTTACGTGAAAGTTACAGCATTTACAAATGGCGGGAAAGATACTCGGATTTAAAAATTTTTTCTATACTAATAATGGCGGCGATCAGCGACTTAAGGCGGTGATCAGCGACTTATGGCAGGACTGCAGCGGACATTCTGACACTGGGGGGGGAACTGACTTGGGGTCACTGACATCCCCAGTGACACCAATACAGTGATCAGTGCAACAAAAAAAAAAACACTGACACTGTACTAATGGCACTGGGGAGGAAGGGGGTAACTTTTTATTCACTGAAAGAGTTAACTGTGTGAGGGGAGTGTTTTACTAGGGGGGGCGGGGGTGTGTACTGCACGGGGACACGCTGATTGGGAGAGATAAACTCTTCTCTCCTGATCAGCGTGTCAGGAGCTGTTAGGGAACTGACAGAAAGCAGAGCTACTGCAGCCCTGCTCTCTGTCAGTGATTGCCGCTAATCGGCGGGACACGGTCGGTGATGACTGTCTGTGACCCAGCGACTGACACCCGCGGCCGGGATCGGCGGTGCAGGTAGGGCTGCGGCGCGCCTCGTGCGCGCCCCCTACCTATTTTGCAAAAGTGCGTTTTAAAATGTGCTTTTGCCCAGCCGTGCCGACCTGCCACCGTATTTCTACAGTGGCTGGCCGGCAAGTGGTTAAACTCTTGCTTTCATTAATAACTTGCCCTTTCCCTAGAGATCCTTGGCATGTCCTTCTTCACCTGAAAACCCCAGGCCTTTCAAAACACCAATTCAAGTTGGTTACATACGTATTATTGGCAGCTAAACAAACTATAGCGAAAGCCTGGAAAAAACAATTTATCTCTTTTAAAGAAGTCCATCGTCGTCCTAGATTTTTCCTGGTTAATGAAAAACTCTCTAGCATCCTCTCTGATACTCAAGAGAGATTCCTTAAAACATGGACTCCATGGATCCAGCATGCCAATCCTGCTATATCAATAATTTCTCCTTTTGATCCTTTCTAGTCTCCCTCCCTTCCTCATCTTTCTCTTCTTTTTTCTTTATTATTTTACTGGCTCTTCCGCAGGGATGATTCATGATACGTTCCATATTTTTGGTTCAACTATATACTTTGTGAATTTCAAATGTCATTATCTTGTTTGTTGGCTGTTCAGCAATGGGTGTATAGTTCTTTCACCCTTACGCTGATTTATCGACTTGATATGTTTGATGTTTCTGTTATCTCTCTTTTGACATGCAAATTACTCGTCTGTTTTCCAATGTATGACTGCCATTGACTGTCACCATTTGTTATTTCATTGTTTATATACATGATAGCGGTTGCATCTGTATCTTTTGAAATTAAAACAATTGAATAAAAAGTTATTGAAGAAAAAAAAAAAAAAAAAGGTTGTTTGCTCCGCCTCTTCTGCGCGTGCCACCATAGCAAGCCAGGCTGTGTGTGTGTCTATGTTATTTAGTTTAATGCAGGTAATGTATTAAGGTCAAAAACCTTTTGACTTTAGAACTACTTTAACCTCTGACAGCACAAAGGTATTAGGCTAGGTTCACATCTATGCAAGACTGCATGTAAATTGCAAGCAACGGCTGGGTAGCACTGATGGGTGGCACTGCTGATGATCAGTGCCGATCTGCTCTTTGACAGCTGCCGGTCATCGGCAGTACTTTGCTCACACTGTGACAGCTTAAGGAAAGTGCTGCCGATATCCGCTAACTGTATTTACTCCGTGATTTGCTGTGTCATTGAACACAGCTAATCACGTGGTAAAAGGCCGCTGTGATTGGCCTTTTACCTCATCACGTGATCAGCTGTGTCTGTAGGACACACTGATCACGGAGATCGCCAGGTGCGTGCCACTGGGGGCATGCGGGAGGGTACAATCTGGGAGGACGTCATATGACGCCCTCAAAGAACTGAGTAACCGCGCTGTAGCTGTTCAGCTATAGCATGGTTACCAAGTGATTAAACATTACTGGACGCAGACAACCAAAAACTATGTTTAATTGTTTAGATTTTATTTATTGTGATTACTGAAATACAATTAAAAAATACTATAAGTATTAACAGGATAAGTTCACCTTTTAACCTTTCTAAAAATAATAAAATGCACATTTTTATGCTGGTAAAAAAATGTGCATTTATTATTTTTTGTTTTTGGTGCCTCTAAAGCCTTGCACCAGCAATTAGCAGATCGCTGGTACCATGCACGTCTCCTGCAGACCTGTCAGTGTATCTGTGTGCCAGTACATCCTTTGGCAAGCAGATACTTACAGACAGGAAGACTCAAACTACCAAAGCACTCCACATCGCCGTGGTAGTTCATTGAAAACTACAAGTTGACAGCCGTAAAGAACACTGTGAATGATTGCAGGGCCGCGTTTTTTAACATTGTGACAGCTAGCGGGGGGGGGGGAGCGCGGGGGTAAAGGGAAGGGCGAGGGGGAGGAGGTGCAGTCCGTTCTTAACATATTACACCCTGAATATGGATGTAACATGTTATGAAAGGTAAACTTATCCTTTAAGATAATTCTGTTATTCACGTCATACAGCATAGTCTACAATCACTTACCTGTATTAGAACATTGTCAATAGCCATCTGAACCTCTAAAATAAGGCTGTAGCTGGCATCATCCTTGTTAAGTGTAAACTTGTCATTTATACTGAAGACTGGCACTGCTGAGACTGCTGTGGTAGACTGTGATGAGTGCTGGTACTTCTCTCTCTCCTGCACAACCTTGAACTGCAGCTGTTCCAGCTCAGACCTGGACACAGTAATGGATAAGAACGTGGTCAAGCATTTAGTATAACTAATTTAATTTGAACTGCATGAAATAATCTGTACATCTTTACTAGCGCTCACCTTAAAGATGCTACTTTAGCTTGCATTTCTTGACTTACTTTGAGTTCCTCACCAGGACCAGCTTCCCGGTGGACTGGCTCTGTAGTGAGTCCAGTCACCCAGCCTGACAGAAAAGAAAAACCAAAACAGATATACATTCCATACATGCAGTTCTTTTCAACAATGTAACAAATATATTGAGCAGACCCTTACAGGTCCATTCATCTCTATGGACAGGTGGGTTTAAACAGACTTGTGTCCATTTACACTTGCATACCTCAGGGTCCGATCAGGTTCGATTTAAAAAAAAAATAAAATAAAAAAGGCAGGGGACCTGTCCACCGCTTTTTTTTTTTTTTTTTTTTAGGTAGATCAGGTCAGAGGGTAGTTAGGTGTAAATGGACAGCGGAGTCTGTTTACGCGCAGCCAGCCATATAGCAGAGTGGGCTCTCTCCGTGTCCGCTATGCATAAACTGAGCGGACATGGATGTGTCATCCACCCACACTGCTCCATTCAGAAGGGGATCTGTGAACTGATCCCCGATTGATCACCATGCAGTCTGCCCTGTGTGAAAGGGGCCTAAAAGATAATCCATGTTTATTAACTATTTAACAGTTCTAAAAGTGTTTGTCAGGGCAAAATAAATAAACAAATACAGAACAAATGCACATTTTCCCAGGCTTATTCCTTTAAAAAACAGCAAAGTACAGAAAAATACTTGTTGATCTGCCATAAATCCAGTCAGCTCCTAACGTCCTCATTGGGCAGATAACAGTGGCTTTGCTGTACTCAAATTTCATCCAGTATTGTCAGTCCTACTTGCTGCACTACAGAACTCCACCCTTTTCTGTCCTACTTCACACGTATAAATTGATTCCCAGCAAAACAGTTCTGCTGTCCTGACTCCCAAGAACCTTCCCACATACTATGTGTGGGTAAAGGGCTCTTGGGAGATGTAGTACGGGGGACATGCCTACATTCTACACATTACACTTAAAGGTACATATAATTTCAAACTACATATCTAGTTATAACTGAAACAGAAAAATATTTAATACAGTCGATAACATTTTTTTGTTTTTCTTGCTGACAGTAAGTACATTGACTGCACAGGACCAGTGTAGTCTTTATGTGGGCTCTATAGCTGTTATTTACAGTCTGTTGGTTTTACACTCCGGTCATATCAAGCCCGACTTTGGAATCGTGCAACTTACAGCGAAGTTGCACGATTTAAAAGTCGGGTGACATGCCGATTTCAGGTGCAATTTGTAAGACATGACACACGTCTATGCAAATTGCACCAAAAGTAGTCCATGTACTACTTTAGAAATCAGTGCGGCTCCATCGGAACTGCACCAATATGACTGCTGTAATTGCGGACAATAGGGTGTGACTTGGCATGCAATTTTCAAGTCGCATGGCATGCAAATCGTATGCCAAGTCACAACCAGTGCAACCGGGGTCTTAGAAAGAAATTTAGTTAATACTGAGCTATTTACATGACATCAGCTTCAAAATAACAATTGTATTTACTGTAGTAGATGCAGTTCTGTCCCCTGATCTGCTTGCCTTCCTCTCACATGGAGTCTAAGGGCTCATTTACATTAGCAGTTGAGAGGCAGTAAAACCCAGGGATTGAGCCTAACTTTTAGCACCCCTTCTTCCCCAACTGCTACAACAATCCTTTAGCTGCAGAGGCTACGACTGTGAGTGTACACATGTCATGGTCTCAATGCTTTGCTTCTTGGCCGCAGCAGGAGTTATACCCCCTGTTACTTTTGGTGGGTACTCCACCCACCGAACATGATCCATTCAAGTAAATAGGGCCACTCTGCAAGCTCCCAGCATCTGCAGGCAATGCATGTGCTTGTGGCGTGCTTCAGCAGGATTTGGGGGTTAAAGAAGGCAGTGAGGAGGCGATACAATGCTTCCTCAGCACCTGTCAAATGCTCTCTATAGAGTGACCTAAACGCGGGCTTACAAATGTGTAAGAGCCCTTACAGTCTCTCCAGCCCTGCCTAGTAATGAAGACCTGCCATTTCCACTAGCCCTACTCCTGGGGATGCTCTTGTTCTTGATCTTCATTACCCAGCAAGCACCTTCCAACCAGAAGAACTGGAATCCATGTACAAATTATGTAAGTTCTGTGCAGGCCATGCAGCAGGTAACACTACCTAAAATAATAAAGGTCTACAACACATAGGTTGATAGAAAACCCATGTCAGGTTCCACATCATACAATTCCTTCAAGATAACTGAGAAAATAAAACATAACACATCTAGTTTTCCACTGCTTAACTGACCAGAATAAGTGGACAGCACAATTTCATCATAACCTTCCTTCCCAACACAGCCTCCCTGGATAGAGGTTATACTTTCTGTCAAGGCCTAGGCAAAAAAAGGAGAGGAAATGTAATACGATGGAAATAATTTTCACATAACCTGCACCAATTTATTCATGAAGCACATTTTAAGCAGAGCTTCTTTCGGGCAAAGATAAAAAGACTTTAGTTCTCTAATTATTAGAAAAAGGCATTTATTTTGATATACGGCTACTACAACAGCCTGTGGACTTTTTACCAATTCCTTGGTTGAAGAGCTTGCGAATTCCATGACCAAAAGCAATTTTCTTCCATTTTAAAATACAAATCAATAATTTTAAAATACATCTGATGGTGCACATATGACTGAAACAATGCTTCTATTTGATCATTTATCTTAAAGCCACCACATCTAAGCACTGGTAAGCTGCAATATACACTATATTTCCAAAAGTATTGGGACGCCTGCCTTTACACGCACATGAACTTTAATGGCATCCCAGTCTTAGTCCATAGGGTTCAATATTGAGTTGGCCCACCCTTTGCAGCCATCACAGCTCCAACTCTCCTGGGAAGGCCGTCCACAAGGTTTAGGAGTGTGTCTATGGGAATGTTTGACCATTCTTCCAGAAGTGCATTTGTGAGGTCATGCACTGATGTCAGACGAGAAGGCCTGGATCACAGTCTCTGCTCTAATTCATCCCAAAGGTCTTCTATCGGGTTGAGGTCAGGATTCTGTACAGGCCAGTCAAGTTCCTCCACCCCAAACTCACTAATCCATGTCTTTATGGACCTTGCTTTGTGCACTGGTGCGCAGTCATATTGAAACAGGAAGGGGCCATCCCCAAACTGTTCCCACAAAGTTTGGAGTATGAAATTGTCCAAAATGTGCTGGTATTCTGACGCCTTAAGACTTCCCTTCACTGGAACTAAGAGGCTAAGCCCAACCCCTGAAGAACAACCCCACACCATAATCCCCCTCCACCAAACTTTACACTTGGCACAATGCAGTCAGTCGAGTACCGTTATTCTGGCAAACTCAGACACCTCCATTGGATGGCCACACAGATAAACGTGATCGAACACTCCAGAGAACACGTCTCCACTGCTCTAGAGTCCAGTGGCAGCGTGCTTTACACCACTGCATCCGACACTTTGCATTGCACTTGGTGATGTAAGGCTTGGAAGCAGCTGCTCAGCCACAGAATCCCATTCCATGAAGCTGTCTACACACTGTTATTGTGCTAATCTGAAGGCCACACAAAGTTTGGAGGTCTTTAGCTATTGACTCTGCAGACAGTTGACTTCTGCGCACTGTTCGCTTCAGCATGCGCTGACCCCGCTCTGTCATTTTACGTGTCCTACTACTTCGTGGCTGAGTTGCTTTTGTTCCCAGTTGTTTCCACTTATAACACCACTAACAGTTGGCCGTGGAATATTTAGTAGTAAGGAAATGGATGGACTTATTGCACAGGTGGCAAGCTATCATGGTACCACGCTTGAATTCACTGAGCCCCTGAGAGTGACCCATTCTTTCACAAATGTTTGTAGAAGCAGTCTGCATGCCTAGGTGCTTGATTTTATACACCTGTGGCCATGGAGGTAATTGGGACACCTGAATTCAATGATTTGGAGGGGTGTACCAATACTTTTGGCAATATAGCGTATGTAGATTTGCATGTGTGCATCTGGCATGAAAAACACGTCCAGCTCTACAGATTGAGTTTTTGGCTACATTCAACTATGAAAGAACTATCATCAGAGACTCGAAATCACACGTTCCTTCAGATCTTGGAAACTATTGATCTCTGTTGAACAACATTCCCTGATTTTGCGTGGCTGGATGGTTTACACTCTGTAATGTTATCTAAACTGGATGTTTTTTTTCTTCTCTATATATTCCTAACCTATAAATTATTGATTTAATGCCAATTTACATTTTAATCAATGGATATATACACTTTATTTGAAATAATAAAATTATTTAATTTTTATGCCTGTTCCTGATGTCTCTCGAACACTTCAGAAACGATTAACGAATACAAGTACTCAGAAAACCATCGACATTTTAGGTCTCATGCACAGTGGACATTTTTTCCATTTCTCCTAGATGCTTTTCCTCCTGGCAGCAGTGTTTTGGCAGAAAAAATGCTTGTAAACACGTGTTATGCATTTGAGGTGCTTGGGAGTTCATTCATATATTTGGACAGAATAATAATTTACTCTGACCATTGAAATGAATTAATGCTCAAGTGCTATATATGCCTAGCGCTGATGCACATTTAGATGCATTAACAAACGTTTACACACCTCACACATTTTTCTGCCAGAATGCCGCTGCTCCTAGAAGAACTGACAGTGGGGTTTTTTCCTGCCTCTAAATGTGTTCGTGGACACACAGGATATAATGCAGAGGCATTTAGAGGCAGAAAAAAAAAATTGCCAGACACTCATAAGAGCAGTATCAAAAATGTCAGTGTGCATGAGGCCTTAGTGTACTGCAACAACATAAATATGGACTACAGTACCTCTTTGTGGATGGCCATTTAGTCCTTGTGCATTAGTACAATTCCCTAGACATGCCCCTCCACTGAACAGGGACAGAAAAACAATTTTCATGCAAGTGCGAGGAGCTCTACTGCTCACAATGCCTATACAATACCTGTTCAATGGTTATTTTAACATAATGCAACCAAAATAACTGACTTACATGGTCAAAACGAAGAACAGGCTCATTTGCACTGTCCAGGCCATAGATCTCCACTGTCCCATCATCCCGACCAATTAGCAAGTCCTTGACTCCATCCCCCATGATGTCAAAGTGATCCATGCACAATACACCTGCCAATATGTATAAAATACAATATATTATTTATGTACAGCAAAGGAGACAAGAGTAAGCAATGATAAATTCTGTACTGAATAGGATCTTATCACGGTTCCACATTAGTTCTACTCATGGTTACACTTACCCAGACAAAAAGTCCCTGGAAACCATGTTTACCTAAACAAAACTACTGACTACTATGCTTAGCCAAATAAAATACTTACCCAAACAGAAAGCTACTGAGAACCACGCTTACCCAGATAGTAACCGAGCTACCCCCCCCCCAGAAACCACGCTTACCCAGATAGTAAGCTACCGAGAACCACGCTTACCCAGATAGTAAGCTACCGAGAACCACGCTTACCCAGATAGTAAGCTACCGAGAACCACGCTTACCCAGATAGTAAGCTACCGAGAACCACGCTTACCCAGATAGTAAGCTACCGAATACCCAGATAGTAAGCTACGAGAACCACGCTTACCCAGATAGTAAGCTACCGAGAACCACGCTTACCCAGATAGTAAGCTACCGAGAACCACGCTTACCCAGATAGTAAGCTACCGAGAACCACGCTTACCCAGATAGTAAGCTACCGAGAACCACGCATACCCAGAGTAACTACCGAGAACCACGCTTACCCAGATAGTAAGCTACCGAGAACCACGCTTACCCAGATAGTAAGCTACCGAGAACCACGCTTACCCAGATAGTAAGCTACCGAGAACCACGCTTACCCAGAGAGTAAGCTACCGAGAACCACGCTTACCCAGATAGTAGTAAGCTACCGAGAACTACCACGCTTACCCAGATAGTAAGCTACCGAGAACCACGCTTACCCAGATAGTAAGCTACCGAGAACCACGCTTACCCAGATAGTAAGCTACTGAGATCCACGCTTACCCAGATAGTAAGCTACTGAGATCCACGCTTACCCAGATAGTAAGCTACTGAGAACCACGCTTACCCAGATAGTAAGCTACTGAGAACCACGCTTACCCAGATAGTAAGCTACTGAGAACCACGCTTACCCAGATAGTAAGCTACTGAGAACCACGCTTACCCAGATAGTAAGCTACTGAGAACCACGCTTACCCAGATAGTAAGCTACTGAGAACCACGCTTACCCAGAGAGTAAGCTACTGAGAACCACGCTTACCCAGAGAGTAAGCTACTGAGAACCACGCTTACCCAGAGAGTAAGCTACTGAGAACCACGCTTACCCAGAGAGTAAGCTACTGAGAACCACGCTTACCCAGATAGTAAGCTACCGAGAACCACGCTTACCCAGAGAGTAAGCTACCGAGAACCACGCTTACCCAGAGAGTAAGCTACCGAGAACCACGCTTACCCAGATAGTAAGCTACCGAGAACCACGCTTACCCAGATAGTAAGCTACCGAGAACCACGCTTACCCAGAGAGTAAGCTACCGAGAACCACGCTTACCCAGATAGTAAGCTACCGAGAACTACGCTTACCCAGATAGTAAGCTACCGAGAACCACGCTTACCCAGATAGTAAGATACTAGAACCACGCTTACCCAGATAGCAAGCTACTGAGAACCACGCTTACCCAGATAGTAAGATACTAGAACCATGCTTACCCAGATAGTAAGATACTAGAACCGTGCTTACCCAGAGAGCAAGCTACTGAGAATGTCCCTTACCAAATAGAAAGCTAATGAGAGCCAAACTTACCCCGATAGCAAGATACTGAGAACATCACCTACTAAATAGAAAGTTACTGAAAACCACGCTTGCCCAGATAGTAAGCTACTGAGAACATCACTTACCAAACAGACAGCTAATGAAAGCCAAGCTTACCAAATGGAAAGAAACTAATGAGAGCCATGCTTTCTAAACTATAAAGATACTAAAGGCTACACTTACTGAAATATAAAAACACACACACACACGGGTTGATTTAATCTGTAGAATGCAAAATCTGGTGCAGCTGGGCATGGTAGCCAATCAGCTTCTAACTTCATCTTGTTCAATTAAGCTGTGACAAAAAACCTGGAAGCCGATTGATGTCTATGCAGAGCTGCACCAGATTTTGCCCTCTCCAGCTTTAGGGCTGGTTCACACTGTAGAAATGCAGTCCAGATGCGTTCCGGATGCTTTTCTGCATGCACGTTTTTGATGTGTTCCAGTGCGGTTTTGATGCGTTCCAGTTAATTTTTTGCCCTCGCTCTTTCTTCAATTTAAATAGGGACATGTGCGTTCCAGTGCTTTTTTGGTGCATTCTTGATGCGTTTTACCGTTTTCCAGTACAGTTCTGTGCAGGAAGAATGCAGCCTGTTCTATATTTTTTTTGTGCATCTGGAACACACTGGAACTGCAAGCACTGATGTGAACGATGACATTGACAACCATATTACCTATTTTTTTTTTTTTATAAATATTTTATTAGTTTTCAATATTTCAACTTTACATCAATAAATTATCACAATATTCAAAAAACATTTTCCTTTATACATTTCCCCCAAAAACCCTACCTTCACATACCCTTGTCCCTAACCCCTCCCAATTCTTTTTCCTTTAGCTCCCCATTCCTCCTCCCTCCTTATTACTCTCAGGACTCCCTTTTTCATTCTTCCTTTCTACCTAACTTTTCCCAACTTATTTATGCATACCTTTTCTTTTCCTCATTCTCTATTTCTCCCATTTCGCCAAATTTATTTGATCTTTTAAACTCATCCCATTTTTCCCTAAATCTCTCCTTTTATCTTCTTCCATGTGGTAGAGTTCCTCCATTCTATAAATATAATCTACCCTAATTATCCACTCTTGGTGCCTCTTGTTCCTGCCACAATTTGGGTATCAATCTCTTTGCTACATTTATTAGATGGAATATCATCAGATTCTTAAATTTTTCTACTGTGATCTCGGTTTTATGAAAAAAAGCATATGCCTGGACCTTTCTGGATATTAACCCCAGTTATCTCCTGAATTTGGTGAATTATTTCTTCCCAATACTTCTGTATTTTAGGACATTCCCACCATATATGTGCCATTGTACCCTTAGTCCCGCATCCCCTGATTTTTCTGCTTGTTGCTTATGTGCCACACTCGGTGTAATATACCACCTAGCTAAACATTTGTAATTCATTTCCACCACCTTCATATCTATAGCCCCATGTACTAATCTAAATATTTTTTTTTTTTTGTTGCTCATCAAATGATATTCCGAGTTCCTTTTCCCATTTCTCCATATACGGAGGGGGAGTAGCTCCTGCTATTACAGTAAGGATTTTATAATATCGGGAAGTACCATGCTTCTGTAACTTACTTGCACTAAACAGTTGTTCAAATGGATTCAGATCCACTATTGTCCTTAGCAGCTTAGGGAGCATTGCAACAAAGTGTATTAATTTAAAATATCGCCACTTGTCTAACATAAAAAAAAAACCTCCTTATTTTTTTAACTCCTGAAAGGAGCATATATCCCCTCCGTTCATTTTATCTTTTAACTGTGTATTCCCTTTTCTTATCCATTTACCCGAAATATTTTCTGTTCCTGGTGGGAAGAAATCTGTAGCTACCAATGGCATAAACATAGAATTAAAAAATTCCAAACCATTTGTTTGTATATTACATCCCAAGCCCTAATTATATTTCGTGTATAAGTGCTCCTGCTTTCAGCCAACTTACGATATTGATGTGGCAACCACACCATCCTGTCCAATTGTGTCCCACTTAGTGCGTTTTCTGTATTTACCCAACTTTTCCCTAGTGCATTATTTGTCCAATCAAAAATATGTCATAATAACACTAAATAGTAATATCTCTTAAAGTCCTGCACACTTAAGCCCCCACTTTCCTTGTCTCTACACAAACACTTCGTAGCTTATTCTCAGTTTTTTATTTCCCAAATATATCTCAGTATCACTTTTTTAATTACTTTAAAGTAAGTTTCCAGAAGCTGTATAGGTAGCATATGAAATTTATATAGGATTTTTCGGGACAATTATTTTTAATCCATCCTATCCAGGAGAGTGGTCCTACGGATAGTCTCCTCAATTCATCCTTAGTCTCATTTATTAATGGGATGTAGTTTATTGTATATATATATTCTTGGGGGATGAGGTCAATTTTACTCTTAAATATTTTAGTTCTCTTTCCCTCCATGAAAAGGGAAATTCTCTTTCCAGAACTTTTTTCTCAATGTTGGGGCATTAACGTTTAAGATCTCTGATTTTGCCAGGGTATTTTTAAGTATGACAACGCTCCATAGTATTTCATTATTCTCATTAGATTGGGTAAGGTCAGCCTACATATTACCTACTTTCTGTGCATTTTGGATGCAGAAAAAAAAGCACATTGAAAAACGCATGTAGTGTGAACTAGCCCTCAGTAAATCAACCCCACAGCAGGCATATCAATCAATTCTTTTACAGATTTTTGCAACAAACCTCCTCTTTTCTTCTCATTAAATATTTCCCATTTGGGCACAGGAGAATCTTTTGCAATTTGAATTAAGCCAATCTTGCCATCTGATGTTCCATACAAAAGCTCCTCTCCACTCTCACCTAGATATAAATGGAAGAAATATAGTAATCAGACAAAGTTACGGTGCATATGTTTTCCGAATGAAAATCAAATTGCAAAAAACTGTAGATACTGAAAACTACTGAATCAATTCCATTGTTATTTTTGTTACAAAATTAACCACTTCCATACCGGGCACTTTTACCTCCTTCCTGCCCAGGCCAATTTTCAGGTTTCAGTGCTCTCACACTTTGAATGACAATTGCGCGGTCATACAACACTGTACCCAAGCTAAAATGTTATCATTTTCTTCACACAACTAGAGCTTTCTTTGGTGGCATTTAATAAACACTGGGGTTTTTAGTTTTTGCTAAATTAAAAAAAAAAAAATAAAAATCCCCACGTTTTTCTTTGTGTCAGTTATAAAAGTTTGCAAATAAATAATTGTTCTTCATAAATTTAGGCCGAGATGTATTCTATTACATGTCTTTGATGAAAATAACCCAAATCAGTATTTATTATTTAGTTTGTAGGAAAGTTATAGAGTTCACAAACTATGGTATAGATCTGAAAATTGATCAATCCTGAAGTACTGACGGCCAATCTAATTTCTTGAGGTCCAAGAATGTCAGAACAGTACAGATATCCCCCAAATTACCACTGTTTGCAATGTAGACAGTCCGACGTACTTCATAAGAGGCATGGCGAGTTTTTTGAAGTTGTAATTTTTTTGTCAGAATTTTTCAGAAAATGAAGAAATTAAAAAAAATTAATTTTCATAATTTTTTTTTTACATACTGTCACCAGTGCAGTACAGCGTCATCATGTAACTGGCATGGCGGTGATCAGGGACACTGACTGGTGACAGTACAAAAAAAAAAAAAAATTATCATTTTTTAAAGTTTTATTATTTTTAATTTTGTACTACTTTTTTTTAAGATTTTTTTTTTCATATTGCACTATGACCAAAGTAGTATAATGTTACCATAGTAACATTGTACTACTTTGGGGACGTGATCAGTATTTTATTTTATTTTTTACACAATTTGCTTATAGCAAAGAACTACTTTGCTATAAGCAAGCATTTACCTGAGCCGACATTTTCGGCTCTTTCCGTGATCGATGATCCACTGTGTCCGAGGGCCACAGCGCACCGCCGATTGCCGCGCTGCGCACTCCCTGAGCCGCGCATGCGCGGTGAGAATGGGAGGCCGTTATATGACGTCCTCCCAGAACGAGAGAACCACCTTGCGCCCATCATTGGACTACATGGCGGGCGAGAGGTGGTTAAAAAGGCAGAGGTGCTTTAGGAATATCTGGGGCTTTTAAAAACAAAAAGGGACCACAGCATATGTGGTTGCAGAAGCACCTCTGCACTGCACTTACCGGCTTCTCCCTCACTCGATTTTCGCGGGTCCGCTCTGCTCTGCCTCCTCGCCCGTGATTGGCCGCCTGTGTGCCTTTCCTGAGCTACATTTCTGGCGACCAATCACTGGTGAGGATGCGGAGCCGAGCGGCAGGAGTGAGGGAGTGGCCGGAGTGACTGAAGGAGCAGCGCTTCCTGGACTGGATCGTCGTGGGAGCCAGGTAAGAGGCAGCAGCCCTCTGTCCATCCCTGTACTTAGTGTCCCTTCCGTCGAAGAGGGGGCACCGCGCCGCCCCCCTAAAAAGTGCTGCCCTGACGTATACCGGCGTATAAGACAACCCCCGACTTTTGAGAAGATTTTCAAGGGTCAAAAAGTCATCTTATACACCGGAAAATACAGTATATATATGGACAGCTTGAACTGAAAAAGAGCAGAGTTGCTGGCTGAATCACCAGATGAAAATAGAAGATAAAGAGCCTAAAAAAAAAAAATGACACTAATGCAGCCATCACATCTAAGAACTGGTAAGCTGCATTATAATAAATGTTTGCTTTCGAGTTTAATAGTACTTTAAGCAGAACTTCAGCTGTTTGCTGCGAGCATGTAGAGTTTTTTTATTGCAGAAGAGACATGCAATGTCTCTTCTGCATAAAATATACTTGCCTACCTGTCTGCAGCATCAGCCAGCATGTAAAAACTTACAGCGACTGGCCACGAAATGATGGCCTCCTGCACATGCCATTCCATGCCAGCCAAGAAAGATGGTCAAAAACCAGAAGATGCCAACACTGGTGAGGGACAGTTGTAGAAAAGGTGAGTATAAAACTGAAAGATCCACTTTAGATGCCAAACTCCAAACTCCATACTACTATACACTTACCTGCCTGTTTTGCAGCATCCGCCAGCATGTAAAACTACAGCAGCTAGCCCAATCATATAATGATGGCCTCCTGCACATGCCATGCCGCAAAGGAAGATGGTCAAAAACCAACACACACAGAAGATGCCAGCGCTGGTGAGGGACAGGAGAGTTGTAGGAAAGGTGAGTATAAACTGCCTTTAGTTCCACTTTAGATGTACTATCAGATTTAGATACATTAACAACTGAAGTCAAACTCCAGCTAACACTTAATAAACAGTTACAGCAAATACTTTTTCCTTTTAGACTTTTACATAATGAATAAAACTGATCATTGTCAGTGTTAAATGGCTTGCCTCAACTCTCTAACTGCTACATCTGCAAGACAGCTTCTTCTGTTGAAAAAAAAACAGACTTAAATGGCTAGATTACCAGGTGAAAATAAAAGAAAGAAAACCTAAAAAAGAAAACAAATGCAACCACCACATCTAATTGGTAGGCTGTAATATAATAAATGTCTGTTTTTCGGTTTAATACCACTTAAATACTACTTTACCATCTTAAAGTTGTAAGCAAGCTCACCTCCATCCCCACCGTTTAAAGCTAAAACAGAAGGTGGTCCAGGAACTTCAACTTCATACATTAAATCAGAACCCTAGAAAAGAAAACATTAGGATACGTTATCTAATACATCAAATATACAAAAAGGATGATTATTTCAGATATTTAAAGCCACGATCAGATTTTGTAACACTGTAGCCCATAGGCACTCAACCTTCCTTAATTTATTAAGATGGTGACTTTATTTCTACTAATTCTAAGAAAAAAAAAAAATCTTTGCCTCTGTCTCTGCCTCCTATAGGCACAGGGCTACAATGCTTTATGATAAATGTGACTATGGTCATAGCTGAATTCTGTTTTAACATTTGCCACTATGTATCCCCTCATTGAGAAAGGCCGAATACCAGGGACAGTCATATGGTTCAACTGGCTGTACAATATGCAAAACTATATTTTCCCTACTAAAATGCAGAACTCAGAAAACAGCATATGCTACACTTTTCCCACATTTTACTTTCTCTTAGTTTTTTTTTTGGCTATCACTCTTATGTTTTGTTTTTGCTTTGCAACCCCATTGGAGAGCTTTCTACCTACTTTCTGTCTTATGGCTGCCATACACAACTCCAATTTCAGCCAGTCATGATGGCATTAGGTCGTGGGTGCTGCTGCCAGTATCCCGGGCTCAACAAAAATCAACAGTGTAATCGATGTTTGTGAAACAAATGATAGTGGCATCAACAGCTCAAAATTCGCCTGATTCTCATGAAATGTAGACAGAACAGCACCTGCATCTAAGCAGATGCAAGAACTGTTCAGTTATTCTGACAGCTTGGCTGTCAGAAAACAATAGCCTACAGCAGGAGTTCTGTCCATCCCTGCTGTTAGCATGGATGAAAGAGTCCATCAGATTTCTTTTGTTCAGCCTGCTGTATGGCCAGATTTTTTTGTGTGAAAAAGGCAGACACTAAACCCCTCTCAAGGGAGACAAGGACAGGAATTAAAACCCACAACAGTAAAATCAGTCTGCATGTGCAGTAAAGCATGCTTGTTATACTCACTGTGGAACCTAAGGGTTTGATCCTGACTTCTCTGATCCTTCCTTTCTTCCAGTGTCCCCCTCTTATCTCCTGATAACACATATCATGTGGAGACACTCTGCACATGCTCAGTTTTGTGTGTATTGCTAAAGAGGTTTTTATTTTTCTTGAGAGAGAGCATGTGATCAGCACAGGGCCAATCAGAACAGTCCAGACAGAGGTCAGGGGTTCTGCATCCTCCTAGAGCAGAAAAGAGAAAACTCCTCCTACAAGCTTTAACCAGTGCTCTGCTGAACACTGATAGAAGTCACAAGACTGCTCTAACTGCTGATGAGAAAAGGTGTTTAGCAATTTATATTTACTAAAATAATTGCATTTCCTTGTAGTGTGCACTGTGGGAGACCAGATAGAAAGAATGCAGGGTCCTGGGTTAAGTAACACTTTAACATATGTTCTTAGCCTTTCCTGATGATAACCAGTCAGATTAGGTGAACATTTTCCTATGTTAGAAGGCAGCTTTAGTTATGCATGCAATCCTAAGAGTTGCAGTAGAAGAGAAAAAGCACAAGAAACTAAAATGATAAAAAGAAAACATATTACCTCTAAAATACGAAGCACTCTGTCCTGGCATGCTAGTATAGGGGTGATTCGTTCCAACTTTTCTACTGGCAAACAGAGGACATCACTAATTTTATCCCCAGACAAATAGTAATGTTGGTCTTTGCAATCACAATAGTGGTTGTATATATAACTTGCACACAAAAAAAGATCAGAACCAGATATATGCCTAGAAAAGAGAACACAAAGAGTGAGTCATAAACGTATTCTTCAATCTGCCCTAAAGTGATTGTAAACCTATAGTTTTTTCAAATAACGAACATGTTATACTCATCTGTTCTGTGCAATGGTTTTGCACAGAGCAGCTCCAATGCTCCTCTTCTTGGGTCCCAGCTGGTGCTACTACCTTCTCCTGCTGAGTGGCCACCATAGCAAGCTGCTTGCTATGGGGGCACCCATGTGGGCTCGCTCCGAAGCCGGCTCTATGTGGCCATAGACATTCTACATACATTTCATAGGGTATTGCGAACAAGCAGGTAAGTTTAATTACAGAAGAAACACTGCATGTCTCTTCAGCAATAAAGAGCCTACCTGTTTACAATTTTTATTTTTCCAACCTTAGTTTCACTTTAATTTTAGGTGGTTACAGCTGTGCACACAGATGATGCTTACAGCTAAAAGAGTATAAGACATATACAAGGAGACGCATAATACGATACTGAGATTTGAATCAATTGTAAACCACTATTTGAGCATTATAAAAGCAAAATTAAGCACAACTGAACAAAAGACCACATTACTTACATTGCTCTAATGCTTTCTGTTAAATTGGTTTCAAATGACAGAAACTGCTTTCCTCTTTTTGTAAAACCACGAACTTCAGACCCAGATGACACAAATATTTTCTCTTGTACAGTTCCAAGGGCACCACCAAGCTCTAATCTAGATATCTTCTGTCCGGGCAAAGTTTTGAATACAGGCTAGGGAAAAACAAAATAATAGGATTGTTGTACTCATCATAAACTTTTTTCTCAAAATAAACTGAAGGAAACAGAGTCTTAGAAAACTGGGATAAAACACTGCCTAAAGGTCACTGAACGCTGGAAAACAAAAAAACAAATGAAAAAAAACTGTAAAGCTGCCGTATGGGATATAACCCACCCCACAACAAGTTTGTGGAGTCTTTACTGGAATTGAAATGTATGCCAAAGCCAGAAAGGGTTGCTTCCAAAGCAGGTCATCCAGGTACACATCATCAGAATACCTCAGAACATACAGTAGCAGACCCAGAACCAAAGTCAGCACCTTGGTAAAAGACCTGAGGTGCAGAGGAGAAGCTGATGGGAAAGCTTATGAATTGGTAGTGAAAATATCCAGTAAAGAGCTGAAGACATAGCTTGTGTGCAGGGAAATTGGGTATGTAAAGATATGTATCTTTGATGTTCAACAATGCCAGGAACTTCCTTTAATGCAGTGATGCAATGGGCTCCATTCGAAATTTGCAGACATGAGTATATTTGGGGCTTTCAAGTCCATGAATGGATTAGGATAATAACCATAGGAGCACTCCAATAGATGAACCAGAGCAATAGCTCCCAGAGACATTCAAGGCTTTACTAGAGAGGATGGAAGTTAGCAAGCAAGGACAGTCAGGCATTGGTGATGCAAGACTTCTAGACTTTCACTTGAAAGATAAGAGGGATGGTTTTTGCATTATGAAGCTACACCTCTAAATTATGTGCCTCCAGGACAGGAGTACTTTTATGTCTGATGTCATTCTTAAAGAGTTCATACAACGAAGCACCAAAAAGGCCCTACAAGGGCATGCAGAGAAGCATATTTTTAGAAGCTTTCTCAATCGTCCAGCCCTTCAGCCAATGTATTCTACACATCTGTATGAAAATGAGGCTTATGCAAGAAAGCAAGTGACATCTAGTGCTGCATCACAAAAGTTTCAATGCATGGTCCATCTAGTCTGCACAAGCCCCCATATGTTAGTTGACACCGATGTTGACCATATCACCCCAATATTTGGACTAATCTGTTGAAATCTGGGCTAAAAGTGCCAGTATCAGCACCAGGTGCATAGCAGAATTAGAGAGAGTAATCACAGACCCATACATTTGTTGGTGGGGTCCTTAAACAAGGATGTTTCCTCTACTGCAGGATAGTTGCCTTGTTGATGTGAGAAACCACAGGGGATGGGGAAGTAGAACATCTCCATGCACAATTGTCTGTCAAAGCACAGAATGCAATAAGTGCCTTAGGGTGGGCTGGGGGGGTTGGGGAAAGGGGGTTCTAGGGCTTATAGATAAAATAACGTAATAGGGGGTGGTGAGGGAAAACCCTAACAGACCGACATGGCTTGTAGGAACAAAAGCCATTACTTTGCTCCTGTACGAATCATTAGTAATACCTCATCTGAAATATGGAGTTCACTTTTGGGCACCAATTCACAAAAAGGATAAACGGGGAACTGGAGAAAGTACAGAGAAGGGCAACCAATCTGATAAGAGGCATAGGAGGAGCTCAGCTATGAGGAAAGAATAGAGGAACTGAATTTATTCTCTCGAGAAGAGGAGATTAACATGTACAGTCATGGCCAAAAATATTGGCACCCCTGCATTTCTGTCAGATATTGCACCCAGGAGGAAACTACTGCTAACACAGAAACATAAAAAAGCCAGATTGGAGTTTGCCTAAATTTATTTGAGGAAGCTATAATCCATTTAGGAGCATGTGCCGTGGACAGACAAAACAAAATCACAGCTTTTTGGTAAAGTCCATCATTCTTCTGTTTTCAGAAAACGCAATGAAGCCTTTAAAGAAAAGAATAGAGTCTCTACAGTCAAACATGGTGGAGGTTCAGTGATGTTTTGGGGTTGCTTTGCTGCTACAGGCCGTGGATGTCTTGACCGTGTGCATGGCATTATGAAATCTGAAGACTACCAAAGAATTTTGGGGTGCAATGTAGGCCCAGTGTTAGAAAGTTGGGTCTCCATCAGGGGTCGTGGGTCTTACAGCAGGACAATGACGCAAACTACAAGTCAAAAAGCACCCAGAAATAGTTTCAGACAAAGCACTGGAGATTACTTGACTGGCCAGCAATGAGTCCAGATGTCAATCCCATAGATCTCAAAGCAGCAGTTGAGAAAAGGAACCCTTGAAATGTGAGAGACCTAGAGCAGTTGGCAAAAGTGTGGTCCAAAATTCCAGTAGAGAGGTGTAAGAAACTCATTGACGGTTACAGGAAGCGATTCATTTCGGTTATTTTTTCCAAGGGGTGTGCTACCAAAAATTAAATTGAGGGTGCCAATAATTTTGTCCAGTCCATTTTTGGAGTTTTGCCTTGAATAAGTCTGATTTGGATTTTTGTTTCTCCACTTTATGTGTCATACCAATACAAACAAAAGAAATAAACATGAGAATGGCTAAACATTAGTAATTGCAACAATTTTCTCAGTGAAGTGGTGCATTATCTGAGGGAAATGCTGGGGTGCCAATATTTTTGGCCATGACTGCATAAATACATAAGTGGTCCATATAGTGAACTTGGTGTACAGTTTTTCACTTTTAGGCCATTACAGAGGACAGGAGGGCACTCTTTACATCTAGAGGAAAAGAGATTTAACCTCCACAAGTGAAAAGGCTGCTTCACAGGAAGAGCTGTGAAAATATGGAATAGACTCCCTCAAGAGCTGGTTCTGGTCAGACCAGTATATTCTTTTAAAAAAGGTCTGGAAGCATTCCTACATGCACATAATATATGTGGATATTATTATTTAGACGTAATGACACCAGAGGTAGTTGATCCAGGGAATATCTGTCTCCAGGGGGATCAGGAAGGATTTTTTTCCCAGTGGAGCAAATTGGTTTTATGCTTTATTATTGTGTTTATTTACCTTCCTCTAGATCAACTGTTGGTATAGGATTGTGTATTTTGGGGTTTTCAATATCTTTTTCTTGTTGGTTGAACTAGATTCTTTTTTCAACCTTACTAGCTATAGAACTTTGTAAGAAGAGGGCAGAGAGAGGTTTCAGAAGGAGGCATGCAGGCCACACGTTCTCATAAGAGGTAACAAGATGCTCATACAAGAATGCCTTCACACTCCACTTTTAGGGAGTTACTGCATGCAAGACTGTGCACCAGGGAGACTGTGGTGTGACCACAAATGCGAAGTGGCAAAAATAGGCTCTAATAGAGTGATAGCCCCCAAAGGGGTACAAACGCAGCTTGAGCCGGGTAGCAATAACAAGCACTTATCACAAACATTAAGTATGCTGGACATGGGAGTTAATCTCCAGAAGGCTGGCCTATAGTTTTTGTTTACCAGAGTCCAATCCTCATGTAGGTGGCAGTATAAGCCACTTGTCTAAAAATCATGTGTTCCTCAATGGATGATAGAGAAAAAAGCTTTTATTTTGATTAACTATAGGAATACTATATGCGGCACATTCTTTGAGAAAAAGAACCTTACCACTGCTTCACTTTTCTTGATACCAAAGCAAGTTACAACCCCATCTTGATCTCCAACAACCACCTAGCCAACAGTAGATTGGAAAGATTAAAAAGGGAAACAAGTAGTTTAGCGTTGCACATGAAATTCATGAAATCTAGATGCAGGTACACAAACCTTTTGCGTTGCTCTTCGTCCAGATGCTGGAAGCAGCCTCATTGTCTTCTGTGATGTAACCCCCACCTATTGAAATATACATGAATGCTGAGAAATTTCCATGGTTTGTCTAAATTTAAAATATCTCTTGCCTAAAAAAATATCAGGATATGGTTCCAAAATTGGCAGCCACTGAAGTTACTAGATATAAGCAATGATCATGTGTACTAAGGTAAATATCCTTCCTTGCTAGGTGGTAAGTGTTTCAATCCGTCTTTCCCAGAAGAATAGAGTCCCTTAGGTGCGATTCTAAACATCTTTACATCTTTTTCTTAGAACTCTAGGTGGACAGGAAGCTGCATACTTCCATCCCAAAACAAAAGATGGGAAGCATGTACTTTTCACTAACACAAAGAGCATGACTCCCCCACTGCTAGGCATTATACTTAAAGGTAGTGGTGCAATGAAATGAAAATTCTGGTGCAGAAAAACCAATACTGAAAATTCAAAATGCACATGGCTAAAAACCGGAATCGAAATGTCTGCGTATGTGGGGGTGGAGAGGATCACATTTCTTTTTTGTATTCTTTTTTTACTTTAATGTGTATTTTTTTTTTTTTTTTCAACTTATTATTGTATTTCTATCACAAAGGGGACCAATAGTCCCCTATGTGATAGTATTTGAGTGACAGGTCCTCATTGTAGGGGGCAATGTGTGCAAGGAGAGGGCAGGAGAGGAGCAGTGTATACAATGAGGGAGCAGTGTATACACTCAGGCTCCCTCACTGGCTGCCGCTATAGGTTAATGCCAGTTTTTAAATGTAACTACCAGCTTTTTTCCCCCTTCACTATAACTCCAAGAAGGAGCTGTCATTCTCCACGCCCCATTGTTTCCTTTAGCGGTGGGGAGAATGACAGCTCCTTCTTTGAGCTATAGTGAAGGGAAAAAAAAAAAAAAGCCAGTAATTACATTTAAAAACTGGTAGTGACATTTAGCTGTAGCTCACTGTATACACTGCTCCTCTCCTGCCTTTAAAACAACCCCCCCCCCCCCTTCTCTCCCCACATCTGCAGTACACACAGCCCTCTGTATCGGCACCTGTATCAGCTAAATTTTTCCTATCAGTAAAATGCTGATAGGGCTATTTTCGGCTGATATATTTCAGCCGCCGAAATTTCATTGCATCACTACTTAAAGGGTTAGTCCATTCATTGTACTAATATACTTCAGAACCCTTTCCCTTTCGAGACCACATCACAGTCCTTTTTATTTTTGCCTTGCTCCTGTTGAACAGCTTTCATTACTCACTATATCATTATCACCCACATTGTAAAAGCATTGTAGAGTCAGCCGCTGGAAGCTTCATTAGGACTAATACTGGTTGATCAAGAAAGAACAAGGATTCCTAGCCATATCCTTAGCCCAGATGCTTAAGGTATGACAGGTGAACATGGCCACAATCGCAAGTTGTAGGTTAGGACCTACAAGAGCAAAGACAGCCTTAGAGGGGACCTCTAAGTTTTTATCCACAAGATCTTTAAAACACTGGGGTATCCTCTACAGGGACAGTGAGGGTCTTGTTATGACAGGAAATGGCCATATTCACTATGTGCCAATTCTTAAACTTACCCCTATCATTGTGATATTGCTGAGGGAAAAACTTGGGAGGGGTGAAGACTTTTTCTGGATTAGGCCAATCCTTGTACAACAAAGGCTGTGGGAGTGAGTACACAGTGAAAACATTTTCTGGCTGCAAGCTCCTAAGGGAACCCAGCCTGGTAACTTTAGGAAGACAAAGGTTGCTCCAGGTCAAAGAATCTGCATACTGCAGGACCAAAATGATATGAAATTTAGGTGTTATGTCAGTAGATTGAGACTCCTCTTGCACCAGCTCATCGATAAGATGCGCTCCTCTTCACCCCAAGCTGGCTGAGCAGAAACAGCTGAAATTCCAGGAAATCAGAGATTGACCTTGGGGGTGATGACGAGACGAGGGAGCAAGCTTGTGACCCAACTGCAAAAAGCATTTCCATGGGAAGCTCCTGGGGTGAAAGCACTTGGACTCAATCCTGCCAAAGTAGGCTTTTCACACCTGATGGTATACCTAGCAAGCTGGGGGACTTCCAAGATATAAACATTAAAGGGATGACAGAATCCACTATGCCTCTGTCCCTTGGAACCTGTGCTTCAACAGATATGCCATTAAAGCCAGCAACTGAAAGGCAGGATGACAAATTGATCCTTGGGATAGCAGATCAGAGCGGTCTGGCAAAGTGACACTCACAGTGGGGTCTATTTACTAAAGGTGGTTCACTCAGAATCTTGTGCACTTCTGCATGGAAACCAATCAGCTTACAGGTTTTGTTGCTAAAGCTTAATTGAACAAGCTGAGGTTAGAAGCTGATTGGCTACCATGCACAGGTGAACAAGATTCTGACCGAACCAGCTTAACCCCATGTTCACACCTAAGCGTTTTACGCAGCGTTTTGCAGAAATGCAGTACAGTACATTTAACATGATTCCCTATGGGACAGGTTCACATCTCTGCGTTTTCACACGGTGCGTTTTTTGGAAAGGATCAGGGACTTTTTTGAAAGCAAAAAGTTGCATTTTTGGTTCTACAGACTTCAATGGAAATGCTGCAGAAAAGCATGCTGGTTGAACTCATCCATGGGCTGCTTTAGTGCAGTGTATTCTTCCAAAGCGGTGCATGTATGTGTCAGGATGACAATGCAGGACTTCAGACACTGGTCCTCCCAAAATATAAAGGCTCTGAACAAGGACCTTAATGGCAGGATCTCCAGGGTACAATTGTAGTCAAAGCTGCAGACAAAGGTTACGTTCACACTAGCCATGTGTGCAGGCAGCAGAGAGGCGTTTGGGAAGCGTTTTTACCGCTTCCCAAACGCCTCTGCCAACTCTGCACATTACAGCACATGGTGCTGTTCTAACAGGAGCGTTTGCGTCGCGTTGCGTCGCGGCAAAACGGACGCCTCTGGTCGAGTCAGGAGGCTTTGAAGCCTCCTATTCTCGTCTATGGTGCCACTCCGCAAACGCCCGGCCGGCGTTTGCGGTGCGGTTGCGACGCGGTTGCGGGGCGTTTGCGGAGCGGTAACACCACTCAAATGCATTATAGGCGTTTGTGGGGCGTTATTAACGCTCGGCAAACGCCTAGCAACCGCCGCTAAAACCGCGCATGCGGCGTTTGCCGAGCGTTAAAAACGCTCCGCAAACACCGGACCAACGCTTGCCAAACGCTATAGGGGCGTTTGGCAAGCGTTGGCAAAACAGCCTAGTGTGAACGAGCCCTTAATGATGCTTGAAAAAACTACTAAAATTACATTAACGTGTTAAAGACTGTATGAGAGTTTAGTAGTTGTGTTGTGATCTACTTGAAGGGAGATCACACATCAGCTCCCGCTGCTGTCAATCCCGACAAGTAAGCCAAATGAGGAGAGAGAGGGGGCCGGGCCGGGCTGCAGCTCTGTGTATGAACAGACACACAGAGCAGTGGCTCGGGAGCAAGCCTGCTTGGGTGTCCCCGTAGCAAGCTGCTTTCTCTGGTGGCACTTGGCAGGAGGGAGAAACCAGGAGCACCAGCAGAGGACCAGAGAAGAGAAGGATCAGGAGTGCTCTGTGCAAAACCACTGCACAGAGCAGGTAAGTATGACATGTTTGTTATGTTATTTTTTTTTTTTTAAATGCCTGTATTATACCTTTAAGACTTCACCCAGTTTTCTTATTTTTATTAACTCCATCGTTCTTTTCTGCCCTTATGTTATTTTTGAGGGCGGACCTTTTTTTTTTTTTCTTATACACAAATATGTACACTTGTGTACTTTATTTTTGTACCACCGCATTACAAGTGCAAAGCAAAAATTGTACAACATACAGTATATACAATAAACAGGAGAAATGTCTGTTCATCTCTGCACAGAAGGACTTAATCATGGTTTTAGACTACTATGCAGTCTGTTACGGATTAAAGCCACTTTAAGTACGGAATAATGCTGTACTCCCTAGAGTACAACACTTCGCCTTGACAACAGTATAACAAGGATTATTTAGTGCCGTACCTGTAAGTAATCCACACGGTTTAATTGTAGGTCCATGGTAAGGACAGCCAGTTGTCTAATATTCTCAGATCCTTGATTACAATGGTATTGTGTTGGTGTTCACACTGGTCATCCAGAGCACATGTTTATTTAGTCCAGAAGGCTGCAACACTGCAAAGGGGTAGGATAAGAAGGGTTTAAAAAACAAAACAAAAAAAATCACAACAGTAAATTATAATCGCATGATTTTGTTTTTTAGGGAATGCTACACCTTTTCTAAGAAAGGTAAGATGATGGTCAGAACTCTCAGGCACTTCAAAGTGCACTTTGGAAGTGAAGTAGCTCCAGAGCTTAGTAAATGAGGGGAAGCTCTGCTGACTTCCATCATCCAATTGTGTGCAAGGAAAAATGCTGTTTTTTTTTAATTTCCCTGGCATGTGATTGGGTATTGTTTAAAAGTGAAGCTTTACATCATTTACTCACATGCTCTGCAGCAACTGCACTTGCAAAGTGCACAGTCTATTTGCATTTACTAAATCAACCCCACTGACTTTTTGCAATTCCATATGACCCTGTCTATCCGAAGAAAGCAAGTTAGAAAGGGCTGGGGGGAGTAAAGTTGAACTCCAGGTAAATATACAACACACACAATTTATCTCTGTATTAATTAACACGATTACTTTCTCTTTTAAAATGCAAGCACACTGTATAGCCAAGTTTGACCAAGTATCATGCAATCCACAGTACAGCAGCACTTAAAACTGGAAAAAGTTACATAGTCTGGCTGAAAAAACTGGAAAAAGTTACATAGTCTTGCTGAAAAAAGACGAAAGTCCATCCAGTTCAACCATTAAAAAAAAAAAAAAAAAAAGTTATAATCCTATACCCACAGTTGATCCAGAGGAAGGCAAAAAAAAAAACCCAGCAAAGCATGATCCAATTTGCTCCTGCTGGGAAAAAAATTCCTTCCTGATCCCCCGAGAGGCAATCAGATATTCCCTGGATCAACTTTACCTATAAATGTTAGTATCCAAGGAGCTTCATCACAGGAAACCAGGCAGTTCTACTGCAGTGCAAGGGACATGATGATATGTACACATCAGCCTGATGCTTCTCCTTTTACTGTCCAGCCACATGCTAGGAGACAGACTAGACCTGAAAGTGTTCCTCTACTACAGCAGAGAAAAAAACAAGTTTTCTGCCTGTCCAGATAAAGCTATGCTGTGTGGCACAGCTGTGTAAATCCCAGTACTGGACAGACAAAAATGCAAATAATTTGCCAGATAAAAGAAGCTCCAGTGCGCTGTATGTATTTACTCTGTATGTAGCTGTATGCCTGGAGTTCAGCTTTTAGGCTAGTTTCACACTTTCACAAACTATACTACAGAATTAAGAAATTAGGTGGGTAAGTGAAGAGCAGGATGGATACAGGGGTATCACATCCATAATTCATCAAACAGCAAAAAAAAAAAAAAAAAAATTCTCATAAAGAAAAGATGGACTTTACTGGTACTCCAAGAACTGCATATGTATGAGTAAAATTATCACAAAGTTTATTAGAGAATAATACAACAAAGAAAACATGAATACAATTGTACTGAAGCTTTATAAACTGTTGTGGTGCAGAGCTTACTGTCAGCCTAATAAACACATGAAAAGGAGCCTAGAGCTCAACCCAACAGCTAGAAAATATGAAATCTTCAAATGCATAATCTAAATTATCCAACTGAAAAACATAATAAAAACTTAAAGTATACAGAAGTCTATACCATTTATTCCCCGTAAATTAAAATTGTATCCTTCTTTTTAGTATTTGGAGTTGAAGCGATGACATGTAGTGGTGTACTTAGAGGGGTGCAGGACATGCAGTCTGCTCTGGGTGCTGGTACTCTGGGCTTTGTTGTGTCACTTGACAATTTTTGTGTTTGTGTTGCATGGTGCTGCATTACTGATTTTACACTGCGGCTCCACTTCTTCCCATTTGACAGCGGCAGTTCAGAGCCAATGGGGAGGTTCCTCATCAGCTTTGGTCACATGACACAGCCAAGGGGGGAACTTTCCCACACTCTGAACTGCCAATGCATCAGGTAAGCTGGGGGAAAGATCTGTACTGAAGATCTGCTGGGGGAGTTTCTCTGAACTAAGAGGTTGGCCTGGGGTCGCTTTACTGGGTGGACTCGGTACTTCAGGGGGCACTTTGGGCTGGGAGGGGGAGATTAGTAGTTTGAAGAACAAGGATTTTGGGGGAGGGGTCATTTTCGGTTGTATTCTGTACAGTGGCCTGTGTGTTACACCCTCCTGACCCCTGCAATCTCTACGTTATGCACACCTAAGCCCCTCACTCTCTGCGTTATACGCTCCTGGCCCCTGCAGTCTCTATGGTACGCACCCCTGACCACTGAAAACCCCGTGTTATGCGCTCCAGAGCCCAGCACTCTGCATTGCACACTGCCTTACACGCTCATGTGCCCTGCGCTCCCTCTGCCTTACACGCTCGGGCGCCTTGCGCTCTGGTCTGCCTTACACGCTCGGGCGCCCTGCGCTCTGGTCTGCCTTACACGCTCGGGCGCCCTGCGCTTTGGTCTGCCTTACACGCTCGGGCGCCCTGCGCTCTGGTCTGCCTTACACGCTCGGGCGCCCTGCGCTCTGGTCTGCCTTACACGCAATTCTGCATTGAAGTCAATGGGACGCAATTTTGCAGTGAAGTGAATAGGGGGGTTTTTGCATTCAATTGAATGGAACGCAATTGAAGTGAATAAGGGGCATTTTTGCATTGAAGTAAATGGGACACAATTTTGCACTGAAGTCAATAGGGGGCATTTTCGCATTTACGTCAATAGGGGGCGTTTTCGCATCTACGTCAATAGGGGGCGTTTTCGCATCTACGTCAATAGGGGGCGTTTTCGCATCTAAGTCAATAGGGGGCGTTTTCGCATCTAAGTCAATAGGGGGGGCGTTTTCGCATCACAGTCGATGGGGCGCAATTTCGCATCACAGTCGATGGGGCGCAATTTCGCATCACAGTCGATGGGGCGCAATTTCGCATCACAGTCGATGGGGCGCAATTTCGCATCACAGTCGATGGGGCGCAATTTCGCATCACAGTCGATGGGGCGCAATTTCGCATCACAGTCGATGGGGCGCAATTTCGCATCACAGTCGATGGGGCGCAATTTCGCATCACAGTCGATGGGGCGCAATTTCGCATCACAGTCGATGGGGCGCAATTTCGCATCACAGTCGATGGGGCGCAATTTCGCATCACAGTCGATGGGGCGCAATTTCGCATCACAGTCGATGGGGCGCAATTTCGCATTGAAGTCAATTGGGGGATGTTTTTGAACTGAAGTCAATGGGACGCAATTTTGCACTAAAGTCAATAGGATGCAACTTTGCACTAAAGTCAATGGGGCATTTTTGTATTGAAGTCAATGGGACGCAATTCTGCACTGAAGTCAATGTGATGCAATTTTGCACTGAAATCAATGGGATGCGATTTTGCATTGAAGTCAATTATCATTATCACTTGGGGGAAAAAATACTTTGTTTTGGATAAAGTTGAAGAAGGCTAGACCCTCTGTCAAGTTTTATTGTTGTCTGTGTCACCCCTCTATTGGTACTTATAACTTACCAATTAAAGGAGTGAGGGGGCAACCCAACTTTTTAAAGCTGTCATTAGAACAAGAGGAAAGGAGAAATCTTTTAATGTGGACACCCGTCTAAGAAGTTTTCCACTAACTTCCTGTTGGACCTCTGGGGCAGGAAGTGAAGAGAAATTTCCCCAATGGTACATAGACTGGAAAATAATTAAACAGCAGGGTTTTCCTTATGCCGGCCATACATGTACAGTACAGATTTTTGTTACATTCATGCAATTGTCTATTCATTAGTGGGGTCAAATTAACATTCACTTTCAACCACAGTGAGGGGAAAATACAAAGGAACAAGATGAAAAAAACATTCTCGATTGAACACATTTTCAGACAGTGTGATTTTTGTTCAGAAATGACATTCATTTTTCAATTGAATGTTAAAATCCGGATTCATTTTCAAATGACATTTTTCCATTCATCGAATGCACAAAGAAATTTTTGGACAAGAGGTTATACAAATATTTTCATCAGACAAATCTACTTGTGTATGGCCAGCCGTACTCTATCCATTAACTCCTTGGCAGCAACAGTACGCCAACATGCGGCTGGGCCTTGACGCCGAGAGGCTGCATATTTGCGCACCCGATGTAAACATGTGCCTTGTGCGGCAATCTTGCGATCATGTGACCACTGTGACAGCCAATCACAGCGGTCACATGGTCCTACTCCCAGCATCAGAAACCCTTAAAGAGAGGCACCGGCATGAAGGAGTAAAAAGAGCCAGTTGGCCTCCGACACTGAATGTGCAATGATATCAGTATACATACAGACCGGAAAGACCCAGTTCCTCCTGGTTTGAGCATGCTACCTTGGTCTGGCCTGGGGCTGAGGAGGCAAAAAGTCCGCAAACTCAGTGCCCCCTGAGGAGACGCGCTCAGGGGTGTCACTAGTAACACTTGGGTGTGGGACCCCACGGTGTGAAGATGACACATGGCCACTGTTTTTACACTCTTTTTTGCACAGCGCCCTAAGGACCAGGTCTTTTGGCTAAGTCCAGGGCAATTTTTGCTACGGGCCTCAGGGCCTGGTCTGTGCACTATTAGGCACGGTACCACTTTTTTATTTTTTATTCTATTTATTTATTCACTCCCACGTTTTGTCACTTTTTGCTTTCTTATGTGTGTGTTTTTTCACGGATGGAGGGTGTGGGTCCTCGGGCCTTACCTGAAGTCTAGGGGGAGGATGTGTGGCCATACGGTTCCTTCCTCCCCTGATCCCTAGGGGGTTTTCTCTTCGGGAGAACCCCCTTGCCTAGTACTGGATGTCCGGCTTCGGCTGGGCATAAGGAACGGTGGTCCACCAGGCCTTTTGGCCAGGAGGACCAAATGGGAACCTTGTCCCTGTCAGGAGCTTCGTGCCCCGGGGGATCGGGTGAACGGTCCAGCCCTTTCGGGGGTAGGACAA